TTTGAATAATCCAACAGAATTATTTATTTCTACACAACAATGCAATATTATAATAATTGTTTACAATCATTAACCTTGTTTTTAATAAATATATTATATTTTTCAGCCTTGTCTGCTATTGATTTCCTTTAAAATTATCCTGCCGAGAGACTAATCCACTGAACTATTGAATTGGCAGTTGGAGCCATAAGCTAACCCTTTAAATCCGAACATTTGGTCCTTCGAGCCGGATATTAAAGATTTTGTATAATTCACAATATTAATAAACTTTAACAAAACATGAATCAAGAGGCCTCAAATACGATACCTTCTACTGTAACAGTAATTACTAAAAAAGTTATTTCGGCTCCTAAATACATCTATGAACCACCAGTATTGCCCCCATCTGAGCAATTAGTACATAAGGAGACAGGTCAACCATTACTGTTAAGAATTCCTCAACTAAGAGTGACCTCAAAATATCCAAAGAAGCCTTTATAGCAGAAAAATCACAAGAACACATATTTTGAATAATCCAACAGAATTATTTATCTCTACACAACAATGCAATATTATTACAATTGTTTACACTCATTAAACCTTGTATTTAAAATAAATATATAATATTTTTCAGCCTTGTCCGTTATTGATTTCCTTTAAAATTATCCTGCCGAGAGACTAATCCACTGAACTATTGAATTGGCAGTTCGAGCCATAAGCTAACCCTTTAAATCCGAACAATAATGTATAATAATGAATTATAATTAATATTTGCGTGTTCTTAATAAAGGTTGGACTTATTTATATAAATGAATCTTTTACTTAGATGATATTTTATTTATATAGTTATTTAAAAATATTATGTCGACTGTTTGATAAAAGAAGTGGAAAAAAGTGTAAATACAAACAATAAAATTATTGTTTCAATTAGTATATGTATACATATTTATACGCATGTCTATAATTTTACAATAATGCAATAGAATATAATAAAAATATAGTAGAAAATATTAGAATATATAATATTTTTTATACATAATATATATAATAATATATATAGATAAAATAAATACACACTAAATTGTTTAAACTTTTCGATTGTTATTGATTCTTGAAAAAAATGAATTAGTACATTTTAACAAATCCTATACTATTTTAAAATTATATTACATTTGATTATAAAAACGTTTTATGAATATTTTATGATATAAATATATATTGCAGTATAATGAAAATTAGGGCCTTACAAAAATATAAATCGTTATATACATATATATATTAAGAATATTTATTATATTTTGCAGTACTTTCCCAACTCAATCAGCTTCGTTAAATATACAGAACACGCCACGGGTTCCCGGTGAGGTATACTTTTCTATTTACTAATATTATTTTACAGTGTTAACATTAGATTATTACTGATTTAAAATATTAGTTATATATATATATATATCTATCGATTTATTTGTATGTACAAACTTTTTAATGGATTTTCATGGATAATAGTATGTATCAATATAAAGTCAGTTAAATTAGTGTGAACAGAATATGATCGAGTATAACGATAATGATGTAGGGTTGTCAAATCCCACTGACCTTTATAAGAAAAGTATTCTACGTGTATTATTAAATATTTTACACGCATTTCGTTGATCTTGAATATTAATACTGAGAGATTCTGTAAATGAAACTCATTAATGTTTGCATATGTATTAGCTACTTTTATACACTTTAAATAAATTGTACTTACATTTTGTAGTAGATATTATTTGAAATTTTACACGGTAATTCCTAAGTTTTAGGCATGGAAACGATATTACTCTCTTTTTTAATTAATATCAATCTTATTATTATAATAATATGTTATAATATAGACAACATTTTCTTGAACTATATATTAAATTGTATGTAAATTACCCGAATTAAATATTTAACGGCTTTTAAAAATTTTTTTATTTATTTGGTTCGAAATAAATATTATATTTATATTATATTTATTTCATATATTATATAAATTCATATTTCAATAATATATAAAACGTATAAAACAACGAAGAATCTATAATTTTTTAAATTTCTAAAATTGTAACAAATTTTTAAAATAATAGCAAATAGTTAACATAATTACTTATTCATTGGATAAGTCAAAATATATTTTAATATAATGTAATCATTTAATCAGCACCATCATTCATCCAAATAGTAATTTTGACGCATAGAAGCGGAATCTTAATTTGCTAAAATAAGAAATAAGACATTTGTAAATATGTAAATGTAATCAATGTATTCTAAAAAAAATTCATTTTGCTTACTTTAAATTGCAGATAAATGTCTTTTATTGCGATTAATAAATCAATTTTAATCATAGTATTATATTTGATCATTTGGTGACAATTAATACATTTATATAGCCGGGAGGCTCCGTGGGTTTCGCGACACGAATGGAACAAATTCGTAATGGAGAACGCGACGGAATTTGACAAAGACAAGATCTCGAGTCGCAGTTGGCTCGTCAATCAAACACAACTGGACGTTGCCAATGACTATCTACCCAATTGGACGGATCTTGTACTCGCTATTTGCTTTTCCATACTAATCGTTATAACAATCGTAAGTTCATTTCTAAAAGTATTTTAAAATAACAAGTCCAGTGGAATATTAACACTATATTTGCTTTTCGACATCTTCATTTCAAAATTATTAAAATTATGTATCGGATATATAAGAATATAATAACTTATTGTTTAAGTAAATTTAAAATTAAAATTTTCATTTTTTACTTGAAAGGATAAACAAATATTTTCAATAATTATTCAAAGAAACATAAAATTTTCATTTTACATTATTATTACTTAAAATTTTTGTATTATATTTAAAATTAAACTAATGCATACACATATGCATAGTTTTATATTAAAAATAAATAGCTTATTAATATTTTGTTATTTTAAAAATCGAAATAAAAATTTATTACTTAAAATTACGATTCTGACATATCCCTTAGTTTTACTTTAAATTTTCAAATTTGAAACATAATATGCTGTATATGATGAAAATTTTCTTAAATTGATAATTATTATTAAATAAAGGGAAACTATTTGTTTTAATATAATTATGGATAATCTATTATATTATCAATATATCATAATAGATAATATATAATGTAATTATTTTTATGTATATTTTTGATTATGATTGTAAATTAATGATTAGTAAACATTTTATACACAATTATAATGCTTTTATTTTTAAAATAATAAGTTTAGAATATACATACATATATATATATATAAGCATTCATGTGTATAGGTAAATGTGCCTATCTATAAGTTTAAACACATGTGAGTATTAAAGTTTGTATTTAACTTTGTGTATGTGTGCACCCTGGGTACGCTCATTATGTATGGGTTTACACGAGTACGCGATTATGCCTTTGTTAATATAGATATTATCTTAAGTGATTTGAGATTTATTCTTAATGAATTATACATAAAATAATTTGATACATTTATACAATTAATATTCATTTTACATACATTATATAATTAAAAAATTAGAAGAATCGAACTTTATAATGTATAAATAAATTGATCTTCAAAACTTTAACTATGTTCTGAAACTACCTGAAATGCCTTGTGTAATCTCCATTTCCAATAGATTATACAATACTATGTAATTAAATGACGATATATTGGAAATTTTCAAGATTAAAGCCAGTTATTAACAGATGCGTATATGTAACTAATTTCATTACGAATTTAATTTGATACTGGTATTATTGATCAACTAATCACTTTATTACTTCCTATATCTAAATATATTATAGTAAATAATTTAATCTAACGACTTAGTATATTACAATAAAATTTGGATATACAATTATTATTAGAAATTAAAAAATGTTTACATAGAATAAATTTCTATACAGCTAGATAATTGTAAAAATATTTATTTAACTAAACCACACTAATTAATTTTGTTTTATAAAAAAAATATTTTTATTTTTATTTTTATTTTTATTTTAATTTATAAAATAGCAAAAAATTAGCCAATTGCTAGATATTTTTGGTTATTATTGTGTAAAATTAGTTATCGATAATAAATAATTGATCTTTTGAACATAAAGTACTATCAACTGTTTGTGAAATTAAGTAAATAATAAACACTATTCATTATCATTTATAATTTAAACTTTTAAAAAATTATTAAATGCAATAATAAATATTTGTTTTTTTTTTTAAAAAAAAAAGGAATAGTACGAATAATAGGAATGATTCATTTATTTATATTATTTAAAAAAATTTTATACAAATATTTGTATATGTATGCATTATTAAAATATCATAAGATATAATATATATTTTAAGACGATTTATTAAATATGTTTAAGTAGCAGGTAAATAATAGTTTGACATTAGAAATAATATTAAATAGATATAGAAATAAAATGTTCGTAACTAGATTAAATTTTAAAACATTGTTACTGTAATGTATTTGACCCTTGTTAAACCTAACGAAATGGAATAAAATCATTTACTTAAAAACTCTTATATATATGTATTCTAACTTGAAAGAATCTAATTAAAATAAAAAAAGAGAGTGAAAAAATTGTATAAATGAACTTCTTAAAATGTTTTTCTTATAATATATTATTTCATTTTTGATTATTAAATATGATAGATTTGAAATATAATTAAATATAAACATGAAAAGAAATTTGCAATTACTAAAAATAAGGTACTACAAATTTTGATCGTATAAAATTGTGCCTAAATGTATTTTCTGTAATTTTGGTAGAGCAATCTTTGAATTACTCCAAGAAACTGCTAAACAATTTATCTTTAAATTCTTGTACCATCTAATCCATTGGCATCGATACATAATCATATATACTGATAAATTAGCTATTTTGAATACGTATTTGTACATTATGCAGCAACGTGTTATAATTTGAAGTTAAATATCAGACGATTATTTTGAGTGTCAATTAAAAAAAAAAAAAAAAACTTTCTGGCTGAGTAAAACGATCGTGGGCATATAGGAAGGATATATTTTGAATAGCTTCTAATTCTGCCTTTCTAGGTCTGCCTTTCTACTCCATTCGGAATGAAAAATATAATTTGTGATTCTGTAATTATTACAAACATATTAAATTTACTTATCCCTTAAAAATCTGAAAAATCTGAAACTAGAAAAACTGTTCATTCGATATTTGTATCAATTCAGCCTTACTTTGGGTTAAACAACGCTAACCGAAGCGGAACACATTTACAAAGGCGCTACATATGCTACAATATTCTCTGCACTACGGCTTTCATTAAATTACAGGTTGGCAACACACTTGTGATTGCAGCCGTAATTACCACGAGGCGTTTGCGGTCTGTCACCAATTGTTTTGTATCCAGTCTGGCGGCTGCGGATCTACTGGTCGGATTGGCAGTGATGCCGCCCGCTGTATTATTGCAGGTACGTTGCTGGTTCTTCATTTGTTGCTCGCTCACTCGCTAATTAACCGTTGCTGACGATTTCGGCGTTGTTTCTCGGTTAGGACTAAGGGCGAAAAGGCGCGACGCCAATAACCCAAACATATCGAAGCTTATTGCGATATTGATCGAGACATTGATGATGGTTCGCCATTGAGACGTGTTTTTCGGTTTATGATTGACATTCACTAACTCTTTTACGAATGAAATTTTGATTGACGATGCTTTTATCGGAGACTTGAAACGTGCTTATTATAATTGGAGAATCTATATAAATCACAGTTTTTAAACGAGCGTCAGAGTTTTTTTTATCATTCATTTGAAGATACTTTATGTATATTCATGAAATGTACGCGAAATTTTCCTGTATTTCTATAAATATTACATAAATATAATAACATTTCCTTGAAAAAGTAATGAAAACATAATGGGCTAAATGATATAATATAATTTCAAAGGTGAATGTTTTTATAATAAATGTTTAATTCATTTATATTTATAAGAATAAAAATCACAATAATGAAAATCACAAACAAATGATAGAAATAAATTTTAAGCGTTCCTTTTAGAAATTTAAACATTTGAAAAAGATTCAATGTTCTTCGAAGTAATCTTGTAATGTAATGTTCTTCGAAAGTGTTCAATTAGAAGACTGGTTGAATGTAAGATTATAAAACTTTCTTAAGATAACCGGTAAACTTTAATCTTTACAAAAATATCGTATAAGAGAAGTTTAACAGTTATGTATCTAATAAAATTTTTTTACTTTTCAGTTTATCAGAAGTTTTTGTGTTGTGTATAAATTATTATTTTTTATGCAAAAATTATTAATTTTTCATTTTAAATAAAGTTCAATCAAAATAAAGACAATTTTGATAACTCTTAAAAATTATTTCTTAAATTATAATATATCATAAGATTATATAATATAGCAGAAAAATGAAAACTATCTCGAGCATTATGTACCTAAGCATATATTTAAATTTAAAATTTTTAGTAATAAAAAAAAATATTACATTTTACTGATAAATGTAATTTTTTTCATTATTTTTACATAATATTTTAAGTTAACTATTTATAGTAGAGTAATGTGAAAAAAAAATTTACAAGACACATAAAATAAATTCAAATTTCATTTTTATTTATAGTTTGGATATTTGAAACTTACTATAATTCACTATTATTGTTTTTAGATATTTGATTTATATATTTTAGTGATATTCAAATGAATGAAGAATACAAGAGCAATTAAATAGATTTTCTAATCAAATGTATGTATTTCTCAAAAAATTCTGAAATTAAATTAAATAAAATATTGAAATTCATAGGGATATTATTGCTAAAAAATAGGATAATTCGTAAATTTGTATACTAAAATTAAAAATTGTATTATACACTGCTTATAAATACTAACAAATAATTTTTTTATAAACAAAATATATTAAAAAAGATATTTTATTATTATATAATAAAAGATAATGAGCATAATATTTCCTTATTTAATTATATTTATTTATTTTTTATAAATAAAAAAAATATTATTATTTTTTATATGAGATTTTCTTTATATACACGTGTTCATTCATAAAGCGATTATTATTATTATATAATTTATGATTTATGTACATTTATGGAAAAGTAAGAATGTAAGAGTTTATACATTACTGTTCATTACAATATTTGAAAATTCCATATAATTATATATAATTCACTTACTTATTTTATTAAGAATAAGTTGTTTTGGCATTAATAGGAAAGGATGATATGATAGATTTTTCGTAATAACAAAAATGAATATAAACATAAACAATAACTTTTAAGATGAATACAACTTAGATTAGTTTATCAACTAAGATGTGTAATTAAACGTATATTTATATAAGTATAAATCTAATAAAATATGTTAATATAAAAATCATTAGAATCCGTAAATATAATAAAAGTTTCGATTTAAAATTAATTACTCTTTTTAGTTTATCTTCGTTATTATTTCTAAAATGACTCTGAAACGATACTAATATATATCAATTGCATTGAATTGATTAAATGCCAATAATAACACATACAATGTTATATGAATGTCAATATTTTATTCTTCGCTTTGGCTATTCATTTTTTAATTGAATTGACAAAAGATTTTATTTGCAATTCTCTCATATAAAAAAAAATTATTCTATACACGTGTAGTAGTATCGTATTATTTCCATTGAAATTAATTTTTAATTGGATCAACATAATGATATTAATTTGATATACTGACATAATTATTTTTTTTGTTATATATAAAGCGTTTCCAAATCAAAATTATGTTTATATAATATTTTTTGTATAGTAAACTATATGAGTTGGCAAATTCATATAGGTAAATATACATCTGGCAACCCTATATAATGATATCTACTTCAATCAATCTTGATTATATTTAATTATCACAAATTATATATTCTATTTTGTTTATTGAGTCATGCAACGGTAAAAAGTCCATAATCTATTTTATGTAATAGATAATAATTTTTTTATGTAAAAACAAGGTTTTAGTGTTTGATTTTACTTCGTTAATTAATGATCTAATTCATCGATTTAGTGTAGTACTTTCATTACATTGATCGAACATTATGACTATACATATATTGTTTACACATATATTTTAACATTATATTTAATTATTACTAGTTAATTTAAAATTTTATAGAATTTACATTATTTAATTAATATTTAATAATTAACATTGCTTTTAGTAATTAATAATTAAAATTTTTCTAATTATTATTGATAAATATTAAAAATTGAACTGCACAATTTGCATAAATTATTCACAAATTATAATAATAATTTAATATTTAGTTTAATAAATAAATAAATTAATAAATAAATTTTAATTAAAAAATCTTTAGTTTATCTCAATCTAAAATATATTATTGCATTTTAGTTTAATTTTTAATAAGGAATTTTTTAAATTCTTTTTTATAATATTTGATATTGTAGATTTGATGTATTCTAGAATATCATATAATCACCATAAATATATCAATAGAAAGTTGTAAAAATAGTAAAAAATTTGTATTATGTTATAATCGTTTAATATGTCTATTTAAATTTTTTTTATTTTATTCAAATAAGAAAAATAATTCTTTTATATTTTCGTCATGATATAAATAGTTATTTATTTATCAAGTCAGTATACTATTCATTTTTTGATATTGATATTTTATATAAATTTCTTTTTTACAATAATGTTAATATACATTAATTATTTTAATAATGTAATACAACTTATAAATATTGTTAGTAACTGATTAATTTAGAAAAGTAATTGAAAAATAAATCCTTACTAGTGATAGATGGATCGTAAGACCTATGTTTATATATTTGTTAATTCTAGAATATCAGATAATAATTTAATATATTTAATATATTAAATGCGTTATAATTTAATGCGGATTTTCGAAATTAAAAAAAGGGAGAAAGCCACGATACTTATTCGTTTGAAATTATTGTAAGCAATGCGATACTTGACGCACCTTCGATCTTGATTTTGAGCCTGAATTTGGATATAAAGGCGACAAACGACGCCGATTTCCATACTTTCGTTGATTCTCCTAGAATATACAGGTGCCTTTGAATATATTACGTAATTTTCTTAAATTCAAGAAACTTATATTGATTAAACGTAAAAAAGTAAATATGCACAATATTTTCTAATTTATATAATGTATAATTATATCAATTCTTTCAATACAATTTCTTATGAAAATAATCAAATTCTTTAATTGCAAGCTAATTATAATACAGGTCTCATTGATGAGTGAAATCGCTATAAATGCTGGCATTTATTTAAAAATAAGAAATTACAAAAATTATACTTGATAATACAAAATATGTAAAAACTATTGAAAAATTCCAATATTACATTATATATTCTATACAATAGTTAAGTATGTAAAAACTTATAATTCTTTAATGAATTTTAAATTAATTCATTGTTATTTAACTGAATAAATTAAAAATGTCTAATGTAATAAAAACTACTTAAAGTTTTATATTAATGGCTATTGTACTACACTGCCGTTTGCGGGTATGCTTGTTTTAAACATTATCGTAAATATTAATAATTCAAAACAATAAATTAATACTTTCATTTTAATAAACATTTTAATGGTACTTTTATCAAACTGAAAATAATGAAAATCTATTTGCTATCAAATAAAGGCACAAGTACTAAACTAATTCAAGATAACAATGGTCGTCACGAAAGAAAAGTAATTATTAGTGGTGTGAAGCACTAAAATTTTGAAAAAGTTGTTTAAATTTTCATAAATAAAAACTTTGAACGTTTGGAATTATTTTTTCAAATAGAGGACGATTGAAAACAATTTGAAAATAACGTGCGAAACTATAGAATAGAAAGTTTTGTCGATTTAAAATACATCTCCATTTTGTGATAAAACAGAAGAGTATTGTATTTGCCCTACATTAAATAGTCTAAGATTATCGTTTTAATATAACTTTACTTTCAGCATTACCCGACTTTTTGCCTATATTGAGTACGTATTTAGAGTTTCTTCGCATTAAATCAGCTATGGAAACTGCCTTTGTCATCGAGCCAAACTTCTACAGCCAAATGACTTTTTATATTACGGAAATTTTTCTACCATTTTGAAATAGTCGCTTCACATCATTCTTTCCTTTTCTTTATTCACTTCTCGTTTTCGTTCCCTGAATTGTGTTAATTCAAATAGAAGGTTTGATAATAGTAATCGTTATTTTTTTTTATAGTGAAGATTTTATTTTGATTTATAATTTTTATATAAAATTATTGCAAATAAATTGATACACTTATTTTAATCTAATGAAAAGTTAAATCAAATCATATTACAAATTAAAATTAATTTTGTTTGTACTCTTGTAAACGGTATGTATTCATGTTAAAAATCAGATGGATTATTTCTTGCAAAATTTTAATGTAAATTGTGTATAGAAAAAAATCATCATTCAATAAAAATACAATATTTCATTGATTATTAACTATAAAACTATAAAAAATGTATGAAACAAATTTCTTCATAGTAGAATACAAATACATACAAATAATTTGTATATTTATTATTAAATTATGTATTAAAAATGAAATTATAAAATAACACTAGTATATTTAACACTATATATATAATACTATATATATAACACTATATATATAATATATATAACACTAATATATACATAACTATAGATCAAAATTATGACATTTAAAATAATTTTTAATTAATTTGATTTTAATTATTGTAAGTTCTTCAAATTTTCTGCAATTTTTAACTAACTTATTTAATGTAATTTTTTTCGTTATTCATTAACATTTTGCTTACTTAAATTTCGGATAATTTTTTTCTTCCTTTAAATTAATGTTCCGCAATTATATTTATAACTAGTTTTTTCACGTTTATTTTTTACGTCAAGTACTACTGTATTGGCTGTTATTGATTATATTTTATAAAACAATTAAATTAACATTTGAAAATTAGACTGAAGTTTTCCTAATACGTTTATAAACTATTACATCGATAATATTCATGGAACATCGTAATGTGTATAGTTACACCGATATTACAAGTACGGCAAAGTTTTGATTATTAATACTTTTTATTGCTACTAAGTTATTAATACTTAAATAATCATTAATTATTATAATAAATAGTGCTAATAATAATAAATCTGTTAATAATATTAATATCTATATTATTAATAGAAATAAGGAATGTAAAATTTTGTTAATATTTTGAATTCTGAAAGGCTTACCCAGTTTGTAATGTGATCAATAATTGTTTTTGCAAAGGAAAACTTAATATTTATTTTTTGAACATAATTATATATTTAAAAGCAAGTATTTTATTAAAAATTTATATATTTACATGAAAATAAGTTTTACCTAATAGTTTTTATACCTTAAGATATCTTAACTTAATAATAATTGGAAAATAATATATTTTGTTATAACAAATATTTGATAAAATCTAAAGATTCTTTGTAAAAAACTTGATAATTGCACAAACAATCGTCCTTTAATCGTATTTTTAATCTCCAAAAATATTATTTAATGTATGTGTAGCAATTTATATATACATAGTATGTATGGTTGAGGATAATTAAAATATAAGAAATAATGAAATAATGAGAGGAAAATAGATAAAAATTAACCTAAAAACTCAATAAGATAGAAAAATCTCGCCGGAAGCGTTCGCGCAATTCATTAATTTCATTACGTGCCCATTTTTATTCAAGGATACAATTACACGCAGATTTTTACATTCGGCTTGTTGCGTCTCCTCACTTTGACTTGTGTATAAAGCTTTCTTTCTTCGCTCCGACAATGCCGCATTCCCTAAGGAGGTCTTGGACTGAGCTTCTGATGCAGTACCGAGAAATAGCTCTTGTTTTATTTATATTAATTTGCTTGCAATGTATGTACTCACCATTATTATTAATTAATTATATGCGCGTATGTATATTGATATCTAAGCTCTATAATAATTGTTATAAAAAATTTGCTATGCTTGTTTTTGATGGAAAATTGAACACATTATATTTAATATTTTAACACTAAGCTTTCAAAATATATGTAGATACTCAATATATAATATCTTCAAATAAATATTCAAATTTGAAAAAATTGTTATTTTTAGTAATAAATACAGTATAATAGCAATAATAATAATAATAAATATAATTAATAGCATAACAATAGAAATAATTAAATTTGATAAAGGTACCAATTTTTGTATAAAAAATTTATAAAAAATTAAATATATTTTCTAAAATATTATCTTTATATATTTTCAATCAGTATATATTTTTATAGGAATATATAATTTAATTAATATGTAAAAGAATGAAGGGATTATATTTTAACAAATCAACGAAGACTTTGGTTTAATTTAATTCAGTGATTATTAATAAACAATGTAAAGTTTAAATAGTCTATACTTGATGAATTGAAAGTAGGTTATCTTATTTCAAAATATAATAAAGTAACTGATTTAAGTACATTCCAATTCTCTATATTACATTCTAACTATATACAAATTTTGGATATATATATACATCTAAATATATACAAAATTTGGATAATTAGAAATGAAATATTTATAGGAATATAAATTTAAGTAACTATATATTTTGCTTCGTTTTATTTTGTCTAATTATATTAAAAGAATATCCACTTATATTTTGATTATTTATTTAGATTCTTCATTTATTGGCTTAGTGTTTCTTTTCATTCTGCAACGATTTTCTAATTTTATGTTAATCAATTATTAAATTAATAATTAATTTTCAATATATTAAGGAATAAGATACGATTTTTTTTTATTAAATATCAAAGTAACTTCTTAAAGTTTTTAACCTAAATGAATAAAAATTCACTCTTTGACTTTTATTATCTTGTAAAAACCAGAAAATAATTTGAAGATGAATTTTATAAAATATGGTAGCATAAAAATTCATTAAAATTGTATTTACAGTTGGCTATTGTATCAATATAAGATTAACATATTTGAATTTAATTTGGTACTCATTCATTGTTATTGGTGTATCAATTATATACCCATAAAAAAACATTCTTGTTATTTTACTATACAATTTAAATATATACATGTAGGCATTTTGAAAGTATTATATTTAATTTATTATGACGTATACATATAGATACATAAGACATTCTTTTTTTCTTTATTGTTATATAAAAATATAATATTTCTTTCCTTCCTATGCTATTATTATTATTATTATTATTATTATTATTATTATTATTATTATTATTTCATTCCTATGTTAAATAAAAATATTTTAATTATATTAATATTAGCAAAACTACAGACTTTCAATTTATTTATTGGTTAGTATTTATAATCGACACAGAGTTCAAATGTTATTATAACAGAATGCGCTATAAAAATCTGTGAATACCTAAATAAATGAAGATATGTTTTAAATGTCGACATTTCTTATATTATTATTTTTGCTATATGCACTAATATTTATAATTTTCATTTTAAATCTATCCAACGAGGTTTTTGTTAATTGTAGGTTTTATTTGTAATATAAAATAATATTTTCTTATTTTATGTACAACTTCATAAAAAATTAACTACTTTCAAAAACTTTTTCAATAAGGAAATATAAGATATTTCTAAAACTTTGGCAAATATTAAAAATACAGGTTGTAAATATTCGAAAAAGTTTGATTAAATTTTAGAGATGAAGATTTTTGAGGCTTTATAAATTTTAAACAGTCACTTAAATACCGTTTACATGATTTAATTATCAGCATTGATTCTATGTAATACTTAGTTTCACAATTTTAGTATAGTTAATATAAAATTAATATAATATGTAATATTAATACAAAATTATGTATATATATATATATATATATATAACTTTTCATTAAAAGTATTCGTTTATAAAATTATAATTTCTATAAAAAGGCTACAAATACTTTAAAATAGACTTAAATCTAAATTTAACCGCATAGTTTAATATTTAATTTATTGTTATAAATGAAATTTGTGTATTGCGTAGTTATCTAACTATACTTAAATAGAGTTGCTTGACCATTTTATATTTAATTGGAAATATCCTTTAAATACAGAATGATAATTATTATATAGAATTATATTAATTTTATTATATTTAACATTTTATCGGTTCGAATAATATTTAAAGTGTAAGAGGATTGGTTTCTGACATTAGAATTCCAGAAAATTATGTGTCGGAGTATACATTTGTACAATATTAGTATGAAAATATAATACAATTAACTTTTGTATATGATTAAAGAGCACTAAAATAACAATGTTGTATCTTTGCAAATTTAAAGTATAAAATAAATTAATTTTTAAGTTATATTTAAGTATTTCGTAAATGTACGGAATATTAAACTGCTAAGTAGCTTAGGCCAGTTATAAAGTTATGAAAAGAAATATTATTATAAGAGCTGTTATTATATATTTGCCAAAATTAAGTATTTAAAAGTAGTATTAATGTATTCTATTTCTACAATAAAAAACATAAAAAGTTACAAAAAAATTTAATGCAAAAGACAAATATTTTTAATATATGGTTGAAATACAAAAATATTCAATAATTAGAATGAAATCAATTTTCATTCCAAATAATATACAACTATATAATCTTATGAAATAATATACAGAATTTGTTTTTGAGTCTCTTTTTGAAACACTCCATCAAGCATTTCAAATTTAATGAATACCAAGATTATAATACACAAATAAATGAAGAAAAGTTAGTCCTTCTTCTATTTTTCTTTCTTCATAGCTGAACGGCGGCACATGGGAATTGGGTGAGGTGCTCTGTGACTCCTGGGTCTCGTTGGATGTCCTTCTTTGCACGGCCAGTATCCTCTCACTCTGCGCCATCTCCATAGACCGGTTAGTAACTTTGTGATAAGACCAAATAGTCATGTACGTTGACAGTCTCTGCTCTAATGTGAGGGCACCCCCCCCCCATCACGGTCACGGTTGTAAGGCTGCTCGAGTCCACAACTTTGATACTTTTTTTCCGACGCTGATCGCTACACACCATCTCTCTTATTATACAGCCCTTTCTCATTTCATTTCTTTATTTTGAATATTTCTTAGCATTTGATAGAAATTTTGTATTACAACAAGTTACCAATTTATACATAGGTTTTGCAAACATATTTGTTTACTCCTCACCACCCGACTGGTCGTATAATTATACTTTTGAAACACGTATTAGTAATGTCTATATGTATATAGATAAAAAATATTTGATCACAAGAGTTTGTTTATTTTTATAACTTATTTATTTTTATTAACATACGTGTTATATGGCATATATAAATAAAAAATACATAATGATTTTCACTGAATAATTCATATTTTATTATGTTAAGGAAACTTACAAGTTATGTAAATTTTAAAGGCTTACTTGAGTTATGAAGTATCGCACATATTTAAGCTATTTATAACTATTATTATTATTAGAATTATATTGCAATAAATTTTAAAGGGAACATTCAATAAATCGAATATTTTAAATTTATAATATTTAAAAAGTTATGTTTATGCTTTGTTATAAAAAACTAATTAACCCGTATATTTATGAAATTAAATATGTTTATAATTATTTATGTAATTAATCTTATTAGATTTAAATTAAAATAATTTCAAGAAGGGATACAATATATCTTTATTTACTTGCAATGTATTTAAATGTGATACATAAATTAAATTGAACAATTGCAAAGTGTGCAAAAAAAAAATAAATTCCATAATAACTCAATACTATATATTCTATATATTATTTATCTTTCAATTGATTTTATTAAATAATTTACTTCAAAATAAGAAAATTTATTTGTCAATTACAAATAAATATTTTTTTTTCACGAAAGAATGTTTAATCTATTTCATAAGATTTTTAATTTATTTAAGAAAATTTTAACCATGATTCATGAATAATTTAAATTTTTTTCTGTTTGATGAAGTCGCTATTTTACCTAGGTTGCTTTACTGAAAATTTTCTTTTGTGTGGCTTTCAACTTTATCGATACATACTTTTTAGACAATTTGAATTTAAAATGCTCTCAAGATCATGAAAATAAATATTATCTATTAAATTTTCTTTTTTAATGACTTATTTAATATATATCTATACAATTTATTTACATTCTTTGAAACAATTAATAAATGTCACAGTAAATAATTTTTTTCTGTAAATAATATTAGCCAATATTTGCAAATTTGATTATTATATTGTAATATTATAGTATTATTATTTTAGTTTTAATTTTAGTATTATTATTTTATTATTAATTTTAGTAACATTCATATACATTTTTATATATCGGTGAAATTTTGTTTTAAACAAGAAACAAATTATGAGTCATTTTAACTGTTAAAAACAAATGTCTTATGATAGATAATTTTATCAATAACGAAATTATTCTTTTTCGAGAATCGATTCGATTTTTTTGTTTTGAACAGGAAAATTAATTGTTTTCCATAAAATAATAATTAATTAGTTATATATTATTAATAAATAATATACGCGCCTATATATATATATATATATATATAATATATTATGTTATTTTATTCTTGTTTATATATTTTATTTAATTTATATTTCTTAAATACATTTGCAAATATATAATAAACTATTTTCAAAATTTTAAGTATTTTCATTTACTAATAATATTTATTCTATAAAAAAAATTGATGATTAAAATCGTATGTATTTAAAAATTTGATTTGCATCTTGTATTAATTACAAAAGGACTATTATTTACGTACGCTCACTTTTATTTAATTTTTATATTACCACTTTGTATAAAGTTTTATAATTAGCCAAAAAACTAGACTAGTCAGAGCGAGGAAGAAATTAAATTTTTTGTGAACTTCTATAAAATTTATTTTATAGGTCGCGTTCAAAATCAAAAATTCTATACGTATCCCGAAATCTTGCATTATGAAACGGTAAACAAGCGCATTACGAAAGGAGAGAAATGATAAATCAAAGTACCCTGCAACCCACAGGCTGTTAGAATTTGTTTGAAAGAGTCATTCGTGAAACTTATTTCACGTAGTTGGGCTATTGAGTTTTCGGCAACCCACGATAAATACAAAGTAAGAGAGATTAAGGAGACACGGGTATGCGTAGGTATCTGGCTGTGACGCAGCCGCTGATCTACAGCAGGAGGCGACGTAGTAAACGTCTCGCTGGTCTCATGATCGTCGTCGTGTGGATCCTGGCTGGGGCAATCACCAGTCCACCTCTTCTCGGCTGCTTTCCACGAGCGCGCAATGTTGTGGAGACTGAAAAGAAGTGCTCCTACAATATGGACTCGTCCTACGTTGTGTTCTCAGCCATGGGTAGTTTCTTTCTGCCGATGTTAGTCATGCTGTACGTATACGGGAGGATTTCCTGTGTGATCGCCAAGCGGCATCGAAGTCTGGAGTCGGCCGATGCTGTAAGTGTTGGTGAGAACCGGAAGTCTCCTAATGAGTCCATAAATTGCACCAGCGTACATCGCCGAACCCAGCGGCGACATTTTCATGCCGTAAGTCAATATTCCCGATTTGTGTTTATTCTTAACGAATGCGTGATTTTTGTCACTTCGCTATATTTACATTATTTTAGTTAAAGAAAATACATTCAAATATATTAATAACAGTAAATTTAAACATATAAAAAAACTTAATTTCAAAATAATAGTTGTTAATTATCATGTTATTATGTTAAAAATTATGTAATAAAAATTATTAGAGAAATTTGGGAATGTAATTCATTTAATTATAAGTATTTACATTCTTAATTTCTTTTAAGTATTAATGAGTCATTAGAGTGTTTATAGTAATACATTTCATTTTATTTACAGTTTTATATTATTAAATTATTACAAAATAGCTTTATAAAAAAATATTAATAAAAACACTGAAAACAATAAATTTATAAACATTGTGTTTATAAATTGTCTAGAAATTAATTTAATTTAATTTAAAATTTTTAACCAAAAGATTAATAATATTAAAATAATATAAAAATATTTTTGATTATTTGAAGTATTTTTACTTTTACTTCTAAATATTCTTTTTCAAGTACAAATAAATACTAATCTTTATACTATTCATATCATATTATTTATTAAATTCATAATAGTTTAATTGTAATAAATAATCCAATTATTATATTTATATACTATGTAAAATTTTACACCATTAAAGATACTTGAATAGTACACGTTAATTTCGTGCAATTTAATCTTCGTATAATAAAATTGTAATAAATTATACAGAGACTTTGCATTTACGCTATAAATCTATTTGATTATACATTTATATTAGGAATTTTTAATTTTTTACTTCCATCTAATTATAATTTATTTAATATGATAACATATATTATATGTAATTCATAAAAATAAAACATATTTTGGTTATATAAATTATCAGTTAAAAATTTGTATATAAACATATAAAGCAGAGTAAAATATTAAAATAAAGTATTCTAAAAATGTATACACAATGTTCCCTATATGTCCCTACATGCGCACATGAATTAATGAATGGTAAAAGTATTAACTCAGAAAATGATTTGTGTGTTATTTTTATAATTGCATATGTATTATAATTATTTATATATTTAATTTTATATTGCATGAAATAATATAATTTTTCTTACAAAATTTTATACAATCTATATTGCTGTTACAGTTTTCAAATACTTTTCAGCAATTCAAATTAGTTTATAAGAAAGACGATAGACACAAAAGTATAGTTTTTTATATACCATACATATTATTAACATAACTTAGATAATAGATTTAACTGAAGTTTATTTATATGTTTATTTATATAAGTTGGTTTATATCTTTATTAACTATCTATTAAATATATATTAATTTTCTTACACATATTTACATATTTTCAATGCATATTTATTCTTTTATTTAAGCCATAAAAAAATATATACATACTATAAATATATAAATATATAAAAATATATAAAAATATATATATACTATATATATACTATATACTACTATATTATTTTTTAAAACGTGAAATACAAATTTATGTTTCTTGAAACTGCATTAATTGCAAATTATAAAATTTCATTGTTTACAAGAATAACAATATTTTTGCAAAATTGTTTAAAAAATAATATCAATTTTATATTTTGTTTTGATACGGAATGTAGATATTATGGATATTCCCCTTTTCTAGTTTACATAAATAGTATGTATTTATGCATTTGTGTATGAATGTTGGTGATTCTGAATAAGAGTCTACTTGTGAAAGCAGTTGAGTATCATATAATACTAGACAAAGTGTCATCGGTGCATGTATTTACATAAATATGTAGATATATGTGTATTAACACGCTATTTAATTTTATCTTGCACAGAAAAATACAATTTTTTCAAATTTATTTTCACCAATATTATATTGGTGTTGGATAGATTATATGGAAATTCTATTACCATTCTTCTTGGTTTTAATACAATTTTATTTATAATTGATACATTTAATGGTTTATTAATATATTATATATTATTTTACTTATTAACTATACTTACTAATATTTTTGAAGTATCAAAAAATCTAAAAAATTAAAATTTCATCCTGGTAGAAAAGCTATAATTAAATAAAAAATAAAGCTTTTTTATAAAAAATTTGCATAAAAAAGGGCTAATGGAAAAACTGTACCCAATTTATAAACACGTTTGAAATGATAATCATCTTCAGTTTGGTCTATAGAAATCGGTTTTTTTTTTCAATAAAAATCATCACGAAATTATATAAATTTGATACGATTGTTCTATGATTATTTTGTACCTATTATCGAAATTGTTAGTAGCATAATGTAGAATAGCAACAAATATAAATATAGATTGTTACTAATTTCTCATATTAGATAACATAAGGAATTTGGTACTTTTTAGGCTTTCTAATCACAATACTCTATATCTCTATTTCACCGTGTAGAACAAAACTTCTTATTTTCGCTGTCAAATGATTCAGTAAAATATAGTTCGAAATAAAATATTTCGATAAAATATATTCGTAAGCTAATATATTTAAATAATATTAAATGATTAATAACTATAATGAAAAAAGAATTTTAGCAATAACTAGATTTTTCAAAATATTTTTATCTTGCAAATCATTTTTAACAAAATATTTACTTCGGTTCAATTTATCTTAAAATTTGTATTTAGTAGCCATGGTATTTACACATAAATGTAATATATGAAATCATAATATTTAAAATAACTAGCTTATTTATTTAAAACTGTAATGATGATACGATTCATATTAATATTTAATATGGAATAAATGAAAGCTATTAAACTAAAAATAATTAGTAACTTAATAAATAATTATAAATAGAATTAATTAACCAAATTTTATAGTATATAGTATGAATCTTTTGAATTCTCAGCTATGTACAAATAAAATACGAATATATGAAAAGTAAAAAAAAAGGTAATTTAATAATGGGAATTGCAATTAGGAGCGTAGAGAAATCTAAATAACGATAAATTTAATATATAAGAAGTGTAGAAGCAAAAAGTAATCGTTCTAATTTGCTTGGGTAGTTTGAGAAAATAAGTAATTTAATAGTCGGACATAGTGTATGCGATGCATTCACATTGCGAATTATAAGCATATTTTCGGTAAGAACTTCACATCAAGAGAATACGTTATTATCTAGGAGTGGCAAAAGCCGGAATCGGTGTAAGTATGCGGCTCTCTGCCCTGCTATGAAATTTCCATTCTTAGACACCGCGACGACATCCGAGATAACATATCCGTGTGATGTCTCTGCTCGAGCCTGAGGTAAGAGCGCGAGTGTCGAGTAAGTAATAGCGGAATTTAGTAACTGCTTTATCTCCGCGCGCAAAGGAAATTTTTTCACTTTATTTTATTTAATACGTACAGATAATTTTCGACGTTGGTTAATAATGTGAAATTTATAGCATTTAATTGTAATTGATATCAATTGGTTCATTTACATAGAGGCGGTGTTTAGAATTTACTTAGAATTCTTGAAGGCCGTATATCTACTTCCCACTATTGCTAATTACTAATTTACTATGCGTAAATTACATTTTTATTTTAAATTTAGTGGAATGTAAATGTTAAACGTTTTCGATTTTTCAAACTACATATGAACTGGTATTATTTGTTTCATTTTCTAATTTTGTTTATTCATAAAAATAATTATTCATGCACGACTTATATTTTTATCGTTTCAAATTTTATGGCGATTATAATAAACTGTGCAGAGTAATATTTGAAAAGTTTTGAGATAAGTCTAATAAAACGTTTTGTAATATAAAATCAATATTTAATATATGTATTAAAATATAATTAGTTGTTAATTCAGTTATCGTATTATATATTATCTAATACATGTAGCCAAATATAATAAGTTGCTAGTACATTAAAAATATAAAATTATTAGAATTATTATTATTAAAATTATAAAATTAATTTAGATTCAGCTGGAAAGACACAAATATAAGAGTGTATCTAAGAAGTATTATTAAAAGAAATGAATGTACACTATATTCATTGATAAGGTCTTGCAATTTTGTTCAGATAATATATATTATTTAGCAGTGATCACTCCATTAGAAGCCCAATTTGTAGGAATATATTAATCTAAATTAATAGGCCCTATTAGTTTTACGCTGCAAAGTTATATTTTTAATATTAATTAGTTTGCTATTTTGAGTAAAACTTTTAAAAATATAACGTTTAATAGTTAAAAATGATTAGTTGAAAATCTAAGATGTTTCATCGAGTCGAAAAGATTCTTATATATAAATAACAAACTTAATTTGTTGAACTGTGTAAGAGGCAACTTTGTTTTCAGACGGGAGTGCCGTCAACCAACCACGTGCAGAGCTCGAAAAAGCCAACGGTGCCGCAATCAATCCTAGTTTCGAGGCACTCGACTGCCTCGATTTTCGAGGGAACGACTAGCGACGCGGGCAACGCCGAGACGAAGAGCCCCGCGGCCCTCGCGGTCCCCTGTTCTGAAGTTGGGAGCAGCCCTTGTCGTAAGATCGTGCGCACGGGGACTCTGCGCAGCCATCAGCACAGCTGTATTAACAGGGTGACGCGGGAGACGAAGACCGCGGGCACCCTGGCGGTCGTTGTTGGGGGCTTCGTCGCCTGCTGGCTGCCTTTCTTCATCTTGTACCTGGCGACGCCTTTCATACCCGTTGAGCCGCCTGACCCTCTTATGCCAGCGCTCACTTGGCTTGGTCAGTTTTCCCTGTTACGTCCGCGATTTTTTTTTACAATTTTTATTGTCTGCTCGCCGTTTTTTTTTAAGGACCGATAATATTACGTTTGAAGACCAGTAAGTGATAAATGTTTTATCTCGTAATTTTCACGGACTTTCGGAGAGACCACCACTGTATTAAAAGCGCATATTGCTCGACGTTAACATTTATTTTATAATATCCACTTATTAGTAATTTAAACATCTAAACTATTTTATATAAGATTTGAAGTGAAGTATATATTATTTCTGTCCTTAGTAAAGTGAATTTGTATTATTCTATCAAAACTTTCATGCGTACTGTTTCTAGTAAAATAAGTGTTAACGGTTTCATTTAAATATTTAACATATCTTTTACACGTCATCCTTATAACAGAGATATAATAAAACAAGACAGTACAGCGTTTAAACATTTAATTACTCAACTAGTATTCTTCCAGTGTAAATAAGATTCAGGGTAAAAGTTATTTAAAACTAACAATGCATCGACACTTTGTAAAACAATGTTGATACTTCTTATAAATCTAATGTGAAGTATTCTGATCGTTCATTTTCATAGCGAATTTTAAGCATGATATTTCAACGTATAACCTATATTAATAAAAATATAATTCAATTGCATTATAAAAGGAAAAAATTTGTTTATTTTTTATTAAGATCAATTCTTACAAAGGAAAATATTCAGCCCATATATAAATGTATGAATCAATATTAGTGTTAAAAACGCCTCGGATTAAATTAATTCAGGTAGAATGTGAAATACTTTTTAATTTGTCTCCGGTTTCCCTCATAAATATCCATTCATATACATGCAAATTGGTTTGCTTGATTATTTTTATACATTTCCATATGTGTGGATAGACCCACAAATGCATTTTCGTTTAATAAATTAAGTTTTTTTACTCCAGATATAGTCATAAATCTTACTTTTACTCTTGAAAGAACATAGATAACAGCCATCGGACTTATGAGAATTTAATTTAAAGTTATATTTATAAAATTTCACTTTACTGTATTATTTAACGTTTTTAAGGGTGAAAAATAATTATACATAAGAAATTTTTTATTTAAAAATATACATTATTTATTATTAAAAAAAAAAAAGTTTATTATTTCATTAGAATATATAATAAATCTTAATAACTATACACATATATTGAACATTAATTCAAATAACAAATAATTTATTTATTCAATTATGAACAACGTTAGTTTTTAAAAATATGTACATTAAAACTTGAACATACTATATGTATCTATTTTATACGAGCATGTATGTATCTGATAAATTGTTGTATAGAAAATTATTTATCTAAATAGAGATATTACGGAATTGTTTGGTATATTTTGTCTAAACAATTTTATTTTATTTTAAACTCGCACAATATTAATACTGATATTTTAATATTATTTCATAAGAGTTTTTAATGAAAATTTAAAAATTACGATATTGTATATTGATAATTTGTTTAGCCTTTCTAAATATGTACTTAATCTCTAAATTATTATCAAAAATAAATAATATTTGACACATATATCCTCGTAATATCCTCCAATTTTTAAATATAAAATACTATTAAAAAGTAATTTTAAGGTTTATTTTTTATGAATGTACTCTAATTTCAAATGCATAACCTAATTTACTTTTCGTTTAGTCGAGAGGATATATCCATTTCTACTGTATCAAATCAATACAATTGGGTGCAAAGAATAGAATATATTTTTTGGAAAATACTTTAAATTAATAACCATAAGATATTATTTATATACTAAACATTGTTTTATAGCTTCTACATTTATATAATTCATTTTGAATAATCTGAAGTATGTAAATTGCAAGTGCATTTTAATGAGCCGTCGGTATATAACATTTTTGTTTATTCCAACGACGTATATAAACTTTGATGTATCAGTTTATCAAAGAAAAATTTTTGTTAACAAATCATTAGAAGTATAAGCATATAACCACATTATACCCAAAAATTTGCGGTCACCCTAATTCAGCATGTTTCACGATAATAAAGGTAACCGCGATCATAATAACGTAATAAATACATTAAAGAAAGGTGGTTAATATAAAAACACCTTCTACCTTACATTGTAGGCTGGATAAACTCGGCGATCAATCCCTTCATCTACGCCTTCTACTCGGCCGACTTTCGCATGGCTTTCTGGCGGCTGACCTGTCGCAAGTGTTTGCGCAGCAGATTCGAATCGAATCCGGGGGCTGAGCGCACGCCCCAGGCTGCACCGCCAAGCTGGAGGCGACAGACCTCCAGGACGTTAGAGAGGTCAACTGCACCCATCGCCTCGCATTGCGGCTCAACGTCTCTTGAGCGTGTACCGACCGACAGGCGAATTTTAACTTAATGATATTCTCAAGCTCGCCATCGAGCAAGGTGTTCGATCAAATCTTGTTATTTCGCCGAGCGAAAATAATTTGAACTGCGCCTTCACGACGTGATATTCACTTAAATTCAAGTACATTGTAAATCCATGTACACTCATTCTACGAGCTCGTGTGAGTTTCGTTTTCCCGGGCTTTCGAAAGCTACCTACTATTTTTTACACTTAATAGCGACAAAATGAAATCACTTGCATTTATAGATTTGTAATTGAGATATCGAATCAGAAGATTAAAATTTTCGAAAGAGCTGTTTTTCTTTATTTGGAAAGAAATTTTTAATTGGAAAATTATTTCTTACAAATGAAGAGAACCATTGTAACTATCCTAGCTGTACTAACAATCTTCTTATTAATATGTAAACACATGACGAAATTTTTTATCAATTGTAATCAAAATTTTAAATTGGCTATTGGATTTTTTAAATTATGCGTGAAATATGAATATTTCTACACTTGAATATATTTTTACAACTCACAAATATCTTTAAGTCAACGATAATGCGGTTTAAAAATTAATAAATATGATATAAAATAAACTTACTAATAATAAAATTATTGGTAACGTTTCATTGTGATAGGACATTAATATTATTTTTTAATATTTTATATTTATTCATTATATTTTTTAGCACGATTTCTATCTATAAAATATGAACAGTTAAATTATTTCATTAAGCAAATCTTTCCAGCTTACATGTAAGTGACGATAACATAAAATATGTTCAATTTTAACTTATATAATTACTACTTTTTAACTATAAAATTTTCTGATTTATTTAAAGAACTTTAAAGATAACGAAGATAATAATAGGCATTAGTTTACATATTAAATTGTTAAAAATGTATCATTTAACGTTGTTACGAGACTTTCATTTGAATAATTTTATTTATTATACCGACTTCCACCCACCTATCCACGTGTACGCACGCGCACACACATACACATATATATATATATATATATATATGATTTCCCTAAATAAAATGTTTGCTAAGATATTTAATTTGAAGGTAAGGAATAATATTTAGGAATATCTAAATTGATGAATAAATTTATGCATCTCAAAATATATATTATTATTTTTTATATTATATAATGTCATTTTGTAATTATAAAGCTATATTAGTCAGTATTATACGAATTACATTCATTAGTATTCCCGTTGTAATTAATTTTTTAATAAGAAATTTAAATTATTATAATAAATTTATAAATAATATTACAGTACTATTTAATAAAATTTATTAAAATTAAATAACAGAGATCCCTGTTAATATGTAATTATTTATATTAATTTACAGTATTAATTTATACACCAACACAGCTTCATAATTATTACTTATATTAAAGTCGAAGCTGATATATTAATTTTTATTAATGTCTAGGTCAAATATAAAGTCTTAAGTATTTAACAATAGCTCAAAATTATTATTTACTATGTACATTAAAATAATAGAAATAATTTATTTCAAAATTTAAAAATATATAGAATTTTTATAAAACTTAAATATCATTATGTATTATAATTATAGTCGTAATATTAGACTTTAGTATTATCTAAAAAACAGCTTTTTCGAATTATATTTAACTGAGATCATTGTATTATTGTTATAAATGATCAAACTATTCGAATAAATTTAAAGTTAATGGATTTAGTAATTTTCACAACATGCTTGTTTTTTTTATAATAAATTTAACGTTAGAAAATATTCATAATACCATGATTTTTATTTTTGAAATATATTGTAATTTAAATTATATTACTTATAAAATTAACTCATTTTTAACTATGCGAATAAGTGAATAATAAAAATATCAATTTCAACAGTATTGTTAAAGATAGATTTAGGAATGTAATTTAATTTGAGATAGTAAAATTGCTATTAATATATGAATGCTATATTAATTAGTAAAATAAATAAATATTGTAGTCATTGTATGATTAAAATGTTATAGTGCTACAATATTTATTAAAGCGAATGTTATATTTTTACAATAGAAAATTAATAACTTAATTTCTACATTACTATTAATTTTTATTATTTATAGATAAATATTTTATTCACCAATGAAATGTAAATAATAAAATTACAGATAACAATAATAAGAATAATATTTCTTACAATATTTCTTATAAGTAATTGCAATAACGGATAATTGTGAATATTATATGAAAATACTTGTATACAAATTTGTATGTTAATGATTTAAAAATCAATAGCCTCATCTATAAAATTTTATGTTCATACTTTTATGTTCACAAGAATATTCCTGAATATTTTTACAATTTATATTAAAAACGAAATTGTAAAATATTTATAGACAATGTTTTATTACTATTATTACATCTTATATAATTAACAATACAATGTTAAATGTAACGTATGTTACAATTGAATTTATTAATAATGTTAATATAAACAGAATAAAGTTAAAAATGATCTGTAATAAAGTTAGAACAATCACTGCAACACTATCATCGAGCTTATCGAAGTGTATCAACTTAAAGAACAAAATAACTTAACAGCATTATAAAATGTCGCATTTAATGCTGCGATTAAATCATAAAAATTTAGATGGCTTTCTCGCAGTATCGTGAGAAATAATGCTATAAATAAAATTGAAATCATTTAAAAATATAAATAAATTCTATAAAATTTTATTTTGAATACCTACTCTATCTTCCTATATACAATTTTCTTTTCTGTCATTTTATAGATCCATATGATTTCTTAATTACATTTAAAACAGATTTTATTTATAAGAATATTTTTGATTGCAGAACCAATGTTTGAAACTCAAATAGTGCACAAATAAAAAGTATTTAAATTCTGATACTGTAGATTGAAAAATATATAATTTTCTGCTAAATTTTCTCCCACGATAATTTGTATAATTAAAAATATATTATTTTTTAAATATTGTTGTTTGAATATTGTTATTAATATTATATCAATAATAAAATATTTAGAATTTGTTTATTTTTATATTTTATAATATATTGATATGACTGAATGGTAATTTATCATAAAAGCAATAATGTAATTTAATAACATTATTTAGTATTAGAATACAACAATTCAAAATACTTATTATTTTATGTTTCATTATATAAATATAGTATAATAATAATTTCAGTAATAATTAACTAAGTAAACATTAGTTAATTGCATTCTATTTTGATCATATCCAATGATATAAATATGTTTATTTATATTTAGATCAAATATTAAACTATCTAAGCTTCAAACATTGATTCAATTGAAAAATTATACAAATAATGAGTATAATTTTATACTTTCGAAATAAATTAGTTATTATTAAGCTCATAACAAATTGTAAAAAGGAAAAATGAACAAAAACTCATATATTTAAAATTTTTCATTAAATAAAAAATTTAATATTTTATGGAACTCAGAAAGAATTTATTTATATAATTTACAGATCAATGTATAGAAATTTTTTTATAAATTTCTTTATAAATTTAAATAATTTGATGGATAATTACATATATTATATATTAGGTTCAATAACTGAATAAATATATTTTTATGATATAAAAATGTATTTCTTTTTTATAATAATAATTTTTCTAAATTCAAGATTTTATTACTTGCAGGTACTTATAAATGTACACATTACTGTATGTGGACCAAGATATACATTTCATTTTTCAATTGATTCAATATATTTATTCTTCTTTTGGATAAATTTTTCGTTTAGGTTGATTCAAAAATTTTCGTAACATTAATAATATTTTAAGTAAAATAATTTAGATAAATTAAGAATTCAATTAAGAAAAAAACTGTGTTCATTTTTGTACTAAATGATTTTATAATTTGATTATATTAATAAACTTGAATATATTAAAATTTAACTATTTCATAAAATTAATTAGAATATTATTAAATTAATAAATTAAAAAAAAATTATATAACATGTTTATATACCTAGCTATTCAAGCGTTGAGAACATGAATTTTATTAAATTGATTTAAAAATTTAAAGCCGATAAATTTATGTTAAATATTAATTATTTATGAGGTAGGATAAAGATTAGTAACCAAAACTATAATATGCAGTAATATTTTAATAGAAGTTTGAATATTGAGATATATTACAAATTAACATTAATTTAAAATAGCCAAATTTCTAATAAAATTTATTATAGCTTCATGAAGAGACCTTTCCTACATTATTCATTATAAAAATATATGAAATTCTAATAAAAATTATTACTGATGGGTATAAATGAATAATATAAATAAGCAAATTTAACTTATATGAATATTCAGCACGCAAGTAAATAATTTTTTGAGTTGTGAAATATGTAATATGAAACATTATTGTATATCAATTAATTTTATAAAAAAATTAATTTAATGAAAACATATGTTTGAATAAAAATGATTAGTATAAAAATTTAACGCACATGCGTGAAAATAAAATATATTAAATAATGAACATAATTATATATACTATTTGAGCATACGATTTTGTTACTCATTTTTATATGATACAAAAATAGCCTTTATGATCCATCAACAAATGTTGAAATGGAAAATAAAAAATTTTTTTTTTCAAGAAAATTGACATTGAAAAAGAATTTTAAAGAAAACTAATAGATAATTATTCAAGAAGGCGCTTTCTCAATTCTTTAAAGAATATGAAATACTGAGAGTTCGAAATAAATTAAAAATGAGCATTGTCATTTCAAAGTCACATTTTCAATTCTTCATAGACATTGTCTTCTTTAATACCTTTGTTGTAAAGTATTCTTTGTTTTTGTGAAATAGAATATTTTTCCTTAGTAGGAAAGAAGCATGTGAATATTTCTCAACTCTCGTGTACCTACGGGCACTTCGATGACTTGCGATGGCCCTTTATGAGGTATTAAGACTTCAGCAGTTATTTGTTCAGACGATGGCTTCATAGCGGCAGCAACATGCCGCGCTGGAAATACAGCAAATTGAGATTCCGCTTGACCACCGAAAATTCGTTTTACAGTTTCCTCGCGTACTTGAATCTGTACAAACATATAAAAAAAGTTATAAAATTTGGTCTTTTATTATGAATTTGAAAAAATACTAATTAAAAATAAAATTGTATTCTTATAAAATATTTTCAATAAGTTACAAACTGCTCTCAAAATAATAATTTAAACTTTTACAGATTAATAGCAATTTTGATAATAATTATTAGATTAAAAAATTACGAAAATATATAGAACATTATATTCATATTTAAATTAAATTAAATATTTATTCTGTTACATAATATTAAGTTAATTAGATCATACTTTTAATCATTTCATTTGATAATGGTAATAAAAAGATAAAACCAAAGATATTTACAGTTAGTTCGTCAACACGATCTTTAAGAATCCGTATGTTATTGTTTCTTTCCAATAACTTGTAAATAGGTAAAACTTTTTCAAATATAGGCTCATCTGTTGCCAATAAGAGTTTTCTTCGTGTTAAATCGGGCACTTCTGGGAAGAATGCAAGTTTTTTGGCTTCCTATTAAAAGTAAATGTTTAATAATGTGATTATGATTCTTTTAAATTTATAATTCGAAAACATGGTTTTAAGAATCAAGTAATTAAGAAACAATTTTACAACGTAATAATACTAAATAAAGTATCTAAATAATTTTATCTAATAATATAAGAATTTATAATAGATCGCGTAACAAATAAAACTAAATGAATAATAATTAACCCTCAGAAGTTCGATCTTCTTTTGTAATAGCCCCTTGATCTTTTCATCCTCTTTTGGTTTTTCATCGTATTTCGGTAAAGGGGGTAAAGATTGTAATTTTTGTTTGAGACTTTCACACAGCAATGATTGCGTTTGACGCGCTTCGTCTTTTAAAGCTTCACGTAGAGCTTGTATTTTCTCGTGCATCAAGCTATCTTGTATCGGTGGACCGTAGCTCGCTGATATGCTGCTGTTCAAGCTGCCATCGGCACCAGGAGTGCATGATGATCCACTCTTTTTACAAATAGATTTGAGCCTTTCCTTAAGTTCACCTCTTTCGGATTCTAAACTATCAATATCTGTCTGCAAGTGGTCCATTGTTTCTTCGAATTCCTTTTCCTATAAAAACACATAAATTATATATTTATTAATTTTTTACTTTTGATAATAAAGTATAATTCGATATATAAAAAATCATCGTTAAATTGTAAAATAGTTTTTAAGATTTTTAAACTTTAATAATAAATTAACTCCTTATAAAGTTTCATGCTTATATCAATAATTAAAATGAAAAAATGGCAATATTTATTTTAAATTTAAATGGCGGTTGAAAATCAATTAATAGTATACTTCTATGTTAAGTCGTGCATATTTTACGTAATTTTTGTAAGTATATATTTAACGTAAATATTTCACTCACTTTTCTTTTCCATTGAGACTGGATTTCTTCTAAATTTCTTTTCAGTTTTTCTATGCTTAACTCATGCTCGTGCTGTTGCGTGGCGAGACGTTTTTCGGCTAATTCTTTTCGTAAAATCATTTCAGAAAGTTCTTCTTGTTTTTCTCTAAGGGCTAACTTTATTTCTCGTATATCAGTTTCTCTTGCCGCAAGTTTCCTGACAGTGATACGAATTAAAATTAAAACTATATATTTTTTATTATACTAAAATTGTTACTAAATAAATGTTAATCCCTTGGTATATAGTTTAAACAGATAAAATATAATTAAAATTATAAAAAGATATGAAGTATGAAAAAATATGATAAATTTAAATAAGGATATGTGAAAGAAAGTGTAGAAGTTGTAGATAAGCAATAGTTAGTTATGGAAGTGTAAGTTATTTAATCGAATAAATAATACAGTCTTGTATAGCAAACCTACCCATTAAGGATTTTAGTTTCCTCTAACTCTTTACGATTAGCTTGAGCGCGCAGGTAAATTGGATTGTTGTCTTCGATATTTTCTTTCTTACGTTGAATCGTAGATCCGTTTATTGCTAATTCGCTTTCGCATTCGGCCATTTTCTCAGCAAAATTCACAGATGACTTTTGAATTACACTTAAACTAACCTTGATTGTAGCAATTGCACCTATGTCATCTGTATCATAAATTTTTTCAATGGAAATTGCTGCCATTTCCTTGAGTTTGGCTGTACTCAAACCCGTATCTAAATCTAAATGCAAATTTATTTGGAAAATTTATTAGTAAATCTACAAAATATTTTTATATACTAGATTTATATTTTTATATATTAGATATTTTTATATAGAATATTTTATCATATTCTCCATTATGGAATATTATTTATTTTTGTAAAATATATATGTATTCCTGAATGCTAAATGTTAAAAGTATTTTTGTGAAAAAATTCTACATTTGGATTCTATATATATCTGTGAGATTTGGAAATTGTTATTTAATATAAAATTATATAAAAAAATAATTTCGAAATGTAACAATTATGAAATAATTATTTTCTTAATATTAGTTTAATATATGAAATATGATATGTCAAGATCTAAGAATTACATTGATAATAATGTGCAACTTACCACCACTAGTTAAAATAGTTTGAAGTGCGCTTTTTGTTAGATCATGGAGTGTTTTCATAAGTTTTAATGCATGTTTATAGCATGTAAATATCTCTTCATAACAATCATTGCTTAGGCCAAGATGAGCCTCATTAGGCGTGGAAATTGTAGAAAATTCTCGTGGCACTCGTCTTCGAGCTGACTTAAGATTTTGATGTACAGTATCACAAACAGTCTCTATATGTTGACACAACAGTCCCATATCGCCTTGCTCCCCATCTATAAGATTTTTAATGGTTCCCGCTTCGGTGCAGAGAGCTTCACAAGCACTACCCAAGCATCTGAAATTCCATGGAAATGTATTCTAGAAATATAGGACTTCAATTAATTTTGTCTTATAAAATCTTATGTTACTTTATCCCTTCTAACAACATTACTCTTTTTGTGATTTGAAAAACTTAATGGAGTATCATTTTTGCAAGAGTATATATTATGCAAAGCATGAGAGAAATAAATCAATTCAATCGCTCTAATTCACCTGGTACCGTTGACAATAAGTCGCGCTTGATTTGTTAGATTCTCTTCACCAAAATAAATTCCATACATTGTTAAAAAGTATGTACAGCATCTCTCTGTTGCCTCCATTATCAGATTTTCATCGAGCTGATCACGCTTAGCCAGTTCAATTAATGAATCTATAGATTTTTCTTGAGCAGCCATTTCTGGATAACTGCTACCAATTTTTAACATACATTCCGGACTACATACGCTAAGAGCTGATTCGAAGCAACCAAGAGCAGTTTGTAATGCATACATATGGGCACAAAGTCGGGATTTGAATGCACTTTGGGCTACCGCATGACCTTTTACAATAGTAGTCCTAAAATAAAATTATGCCTTTTACTATATATACTTTATTTAAAAACATGTATTTGCGCCATATATCAATACATTTAAATAATACACTATCGCACATTATAAAAAAGAAAATAAATTTTATTAAATAAAAAATAATTATGAACGATAAATAATGTTTTATATTTACGTAATTTGAAAATATTTCTGAAAGGAATAATATAAAAAGTGAAAGGTAAAATGTTATACCTATCAATTTTTTCAAGAGGTTTATATTTATCTCGGACTTGTGAAATTAGTATTTCTGTTTTTTGAATCATTCTTGGTATAAATAAAAGCGTCAAAATTGCATCGTGATCTCCACCACGATTCATGAAAGCTGGCGGCATAAAGGACAATAAATATTTAACATGATTTCGAGCTTCTTCAGCATCTAACCGTCTTAGTTCTAAATCAACAGCTTTAGTTTGAGCTCTAGTTCCAGCAAATGTTTTTTGAAAATCAAGAATTTCAGCAAGTTGTTGTTCCGTTCCTAAAAATTATTAATTTATATAAACATCAAAGTATGAAATAAAAAATTGCTACATGATAAATAAGCATCCACTTTAGATTGGTAGCTTAACAAATAATTAAATATATACAAATTAAATGTAATGTTAGAAATATCAACAAAAAATAATAATTATATGAAAATAATTATTATTAATATTTATTAGACCTATTATAAAATAAATTTGTTTCTTTCACGTATTTAATACTTTATTTAATGTAATATTACCAATTCTTAAATAAATTAAAAAGCTTTCAAATATTACGATAGTACTATTTCTACCGAGATATTACCTTTAACAGCTGTCCTTGTCGAATCATTCGATTGCAAACGATTCTGCAAATCCAGGCATTGTTCTTGCAACTTCTGCGTTAACTCCCGGAACTTAGTTATTGTCATTTCGCGGTCGGACAAAGTTTCAAGAGCTGCATCCCGTTGACGTTGAGCATCTCGCGCTGCTCCAAGTGCCATATCCAATTCCTCTCTGAGTTCCATTTCTAGTTCTTTTGAAGATTCTGCAAGCTGGTCTGACATATCCTAAATTACAAAAAATTGATATTAATAATGGTATGATTAATAATAATTATCATGTGAAAATATATATTAAGTTAAAAATAAAAATATTTCACTTAACGTGCGATCATGTAAAATTGTAGAACCAAAAAACTTTTTTAGAAAGTATATATTTTAAAAATTAGATTAATTTAAATGATTGTGTAATTTTCCATATATAAAATTGATATATATTTTAACAATAATATTCATAACGATTTGGAATTTTTCAATTATAAATTTACAAAATTATGTTAATATGATAGTAACCTGTAGCGCTTCTAAATCTGTTACAGCTTCTTCCAGTTCGGCAACTTTCTCTTCTAAAGCCATTTTACGTTCCCCAAGAACTTCAACCATTTCTTCAGCTCCTAAAGCTGCGTCGACCTAATTAATAGACATTTAAATTGTATTACATTTTTATGTAAAAACAAATACTATGTAAAAAAATTACCTGTTCTTGTAGATCAGATATTTGATGTTCCATTTCTTCAATACGTGCCGAAAGTTTTTCTTTTGTTCTACTAAGTTCCAAAATTTCAGATTTCTTTTGTTCTAAATCTTTTTGAAGCTTTTGGAATTCGTGTTTTTCGTGAGCTGATAGATCTCTCATTCTAACAAGAGTTTCACGAAGTCTTGCATTTTGCTGCTCTAATTGTTTAACTTCAAAACTTGTCGCACCAGTTATTACAGTACCTCCAGACATCTTTAATCAATATATATTATTATAATAATTAATATATTATTATTATTATATATTGTATAGTAATAATATAAAACTTCAAATAATGTCAGAAATAGTATAAAATTTGTAAATAATTTAAAATTTTTAAACGTATAAACTTGTAAATCTTTAAAAATAATTATATATTGTATATAACCTTATCTGAAATTTCATTACGCAGAATTTCCAAATCTAATGTTTGTTCTTCAAGCTTCTCTTTTAATTGTTCTAATTCAATTTGTAAAGTTTCAGCTTTCTCTTCAGCCATTTCTTTATCTAAAGTGGCCATTTCAACAGTTTCAGACAAATCTGCCATTTCATCTTGGTACTGTTCGCGGGCTGCATGAGCATCTCGAGTTTCTTGTCGAGCCCTTTGTAGTTCTCGTTGCAAACTTGCCTGAAAACTCAATCTTATTAAATAAATTTCAATAATAAATATCTATATGACAGCATTATAATATTTTTAAATATTCTAAAGCATTTAAATGGGTTTGAAAAAATTGATGCTTTACTTGACTTTCCATAACTTTAGATTTAAATTCTATAAGTTGCTCTAATTGAAGTTTGATTTTTTCAAAATCTTTCATTCTATCTTTATCTTGCATTCTTTTTACTCGTAGTATTTCTATCCTTTCTGAAAGATCTCTGATCTATAAAATAATTTAATTATTTAAGTTTTATATAACAATAATATGAACTTTGTATAATTTATATAATAATAATAATTATTGTTTTTTTAAATGAAATGACAATTTCTTATATTTTAGTACCTGAGCTCTCATATTCTCATTTTCTTGTGAGAGTTGTAAATGTGATAGTTTTTCTTCCATTGTGCTAGACGTTATACTTGAACCGATTGCTTGACCAGGAACAAATTGAGGTTTCAAAGTTTCCACAAATCCCGTCTAAATAAATCATAAAACATAAACTGCATTATTCTGGTTACAATGTAGAACATAAATGGTGTTCAATCTTTATAAATTAAAGATTTTAAAATGTAGTGAAATCAGTTTTGTAATGCAATTGAATATTTTGTCTACATGAATATTTTTCATATATTTATTAAATGTAATATCAAAAAGTTATGCAATTAAAAATTGTAACTAGAAATATCACCTTTTACATATTTAATATGAAATTTAAAAATATTTCATAATATCAATATATCCTAGATATAATTGTTTATGCATACTTATGTAATGAATAAAATTTTTTAATGTTATGCATGTTATGAATAAAATAATAATAAAAATAATAATAAAAAATAGTATATAATATTTTATTATTCATATTATTTAAAATAGGAAGCTTATATAATTAAAAAAATATATTAATTCTATAATTTTACTTAAAAAATGAATTATAAAATTATTTTAAAACTTAATTTATTATAAACAATTAAGTTAAACATTTTTAAAAACGAAGAGTACTACGAAATTCTATCACCAAATATAATACAGTAAATGTTTAATTATTTTTTCCTTATCTACTAAGTTCTTTACTTATATAAATTGAGTTAGTAACTATATATGAGACATTTATTATATAAAATTGTCAAATTTCATGCTAATTTTGGAACAAGTAAATTATTTATTAACGTGTATAACAATAATGCATGCTTGTGCTTTTAATATTTCCAATTCTCTCTTCATTAAATAAGCTAATTATCTGTTAGTCGACTAGTCACAGTCAATCAATCACCAAAGGAAGCTAAACGTCGAACAATTAATAGTTCTAATAGTTTCTAAAAATATAGTTTTGAATACACAATATAAATAATGAATTCTAGGAACGAGGAATGAAGGCTTCCAATGTTAATATAATGTATAAACATTTTCACCTTTTGAGTTCGTATGTGTCTGAATATCAGAAATTTGTTCATTGAAGTCCTAGTATTCTATCAATTCCTATCAACATTTATAATATACATTCAATAAAAGACATACTCCGCATCAATATGTAGTAAGAAATGCTATTTTTAACTAGTAGAGTAATATAATGAAGATTTCATTTATCTAAATGAATTTTTCATTATTTTATTCTATCACTATATTTCGTTAACTAATCATTTGTAAATCAGGATTTAATCGTATTAATGCAACATATATTTGTGTAACTGAACATCACTTTAAAATATAAATCATTCAACGCAACAATAAAACAAAAAAGACAATATAGAAGCGAATGTCTGATAGGAACTATCACGATGATTTTATATAGATGAAAATGATATTGCTGTTGACGTTAGTTGAAAATCTCACTTTATTAATGTTTGAACAATGAGCAGTAAAAAGTATTCCAATATTGTGTCAGCTATAGAACCACAAATATAGTTAGATGCAGATAAACTGGTTGTGATAATGATATTACTATGATAGTATTAATTAAAAATGACGCACAATCAGCTAATAGCAACAAGAAGATATAGATAGCTTAGCAGTATTGGGCAGCCAAAAAATTATGAAACCATTCGGACTTTCTAGTTTTCATGAATATTTTTTATCAGTGTGATTTTCATAAAAGCAATTATATATTGTTAATACAAATTAGACTATTACATCTCAATATATTTTTTGTTATTATGAGAATATATTTTTTTAATATTCAACATATTATATTAAAATTTCTCATTTCTTTCTAAACTATGATACACATTTCTATAAGATTCTAAGAATTCTTTGAAATCATAGAATGTTCATTGCTAAATATTGTAATATCTATTAAAAATCGTCGATGAAAATTTTAATAATGAAACATCAATTATATTGTTATAGATTTTTTGAAAACTGCCCAATTCTATAGCTAATTAGATGTTAAATAAAGAGAAAAAAAATTAAACGAGTAAATCAATATAGTAGAGAAACCGAAATAGTACAAGTAATGAGTATTAATTACATTGTCGTTATCACCAGGGGCCTTCGGCTTTTTACCTGGAGGCGAGCTCGTGCTAGGGATTTTCTGAAACACGTATACGTGCATATTTGCCTATGACAATTTTCACTTATTTCCAACAATCAAGACTTTCACACTTCGATTTCTTAATTACACAACGAAAGAAAATACAGTCATAAACAGTTTATTCTAACTTTAAAAAATAATTACAGAAAAGTAATAAATGTTAATGTCAGTATTATTGTCATAAAAATGAAATAAGTACAAAAACAGTATTTTTTATGTATTTAATTTATGATATAGAATTTATATATATATATATAAATCAATAAAAAATTTTAATTTGAAGCATTGTCTACAAAAATTTTGACGACTTATTAAAATATGAGTCTACATCGTTTAGTGTAATACTTTCATAGTCAAGTGATATATATATATATATATATATATATCACTTTTAGAACAATAAAATAGATTAATTATTTTGTACAATACTCTGAAAATAATTGCTTCAATTATTATAAGAAGCATGTTAATTTATATTAAAAAATTGACATACATTTTTGTTACACGAAGAAATAAAGTAATTTTGTTAAAAGTCTTGGTCGCAAAGAAAACAATAATTCCTATTCCATTGTCACCTGAAAAAAGTCTAGATTCACAAAAAAAAAAAAAAAATTACAAAAGAATTTTCATACATAAATTACGAATTTAAAGAGAAATTAATGACAAAGCACACAGGAGGCAGTTTATTAAAGAGTTAAAATAATACCTCAACAAACGAAGCGCGCTTGCTTGCTGTTGGCGCCGGTATGTGCGATTCACCACCATCCTTACGCTCATGGCCCACGGCGCTAAGATTTTCTGTACTTGGTGCAACAGTAAGTTGGGTTCTACTGCCTGCAAGAGACATTCTCGAGCTGCAAATTAAACATGTAGTTCCGTATTATTCAATCTATTGCGTTTCTTATAATGCAACTAAGTTTTTTTAAGGAGAGGCTATGCTGATTATTGTTTTGGTTCTTAAAATAAGAGTGAGTAAGTGAGAGTGAGAGAGAAATACGAAGTGAAACACAATACTATATTAGGACTTTTGGCATTATCTGCAATTGCAAGCGATAGTGATATTGTACCGTTTCAAAAAGTCCACGAACTAATATAAAAAGATGCTTTTACTAATTCCAATAAAAATTTATTAAAAGATAACATTTCTTTACAATAAAATCGTAAATCATTTTTATTGTCCATAACGTGCTAATATTTTTTTTAATGTACGATATTTAAAATAATACTGAATAAATATTTGGACAGATTTTGAATATAAGATTCTTATGATACTCACATTTTAAATATTCCGATTTATTTAATTTTGTTTACTTATAATTGAATATATTAAACCTACATAACGTTAAACACTTATTTATGTACAAAACAACCCAAATTAGATACATTGTATTTCAAATATGTTTTACATATTAAATTGCTAAGTTCCCATTGCAGTTATAATCTATTTAATAATTGATATCTAAACAAATATCTAAATAATTGATTTTACGAATAATATTTAAATAGTGAATATAAAGATCAAAAATATATATTAAAAAAAATAAGAAAGTTTTTACATTTTAAATAAAAATAAAAAAAAAATAAAAATATTGAAATTAGATGCAGTAAGCAAAACCACAGTGCTCAGATTTGAAAATAATTAAAACGATATATAACATTGCTATGTTTTATAGGTAAACATTAAAAGCTGAAACATTTTTAAATTAAGTATATTTAATAATGTAATAGTGCATTTAAGATGAGCATGAATTTGTATTTTTATTTGAATTCAGCTTAAAATAACAATTAATAGAAAACGGTTTTAAATTATTTTATTTTGAAATTGTTATATAAAATTTTCGCAAATTATTTCAGTTTTCAAAATACATCCATTTCAAAACTTAAATAATATAGCAATTGCTATAGTTAAATTTAAATGTACTTCATTTACAATATACGTGCTTACGTATATTATTTTTCAATTTGCATATTATTATTTTAATAAATTAAGATAGTACGAATTAAATCTGAGTATTTATTTAAATTGTTATTTCAGGATAATAAAGTATAACATAAGATTTTTAATTTATTCAAATATTTTTTTAGAAAAATATTAATGAGCATACAAAATATATGTAATATATAAAATGTATTAAAGTTTTTTTTATAAAATTACTAAAATATATGATTTTCATATAGATACATTTTTATATACTTACTAAGGTTTATGATTTTTAATTTCTATTATAAATTTTCAAATTATATTTAACAACTAAAAGTAAAAATTAAGGAATTATGAAAATTATGCAAATATTCAGACAAGAAAATCCACATATATACAATAAATTATTAATTAATGTACCACATAATGGAATGACCCTCTTAAGCAACAGTTTCAATTCAATTTGCAGTGTATACTAAAATCGTTTTAGTAATAAAAAATATATTTAGTAGAAGATGTGAACAACAATTATGTATATGCAGGTAACATCACACAACAAAAAATTAATAATACTTTTTCAAATAATCAAAAACTTTCAAAGTAAATATTAAAAAAAAGCAATTTATTAATTCTGGTGTAACTTTACAATAACAAGCATAAAAAAAGCTTTAAAAATTGCATTTTTATAAGCAAAGTTCTATATTGAACATTGTGTGACATAATAGTATTTACTTTGAATAACTAAGCCTCTTACCCTGAAAGTTTTTCTGTTTGTTGTATAACCAGTGCTGGTGATGTTTTTCTTCGCACTCTTTATAAAGCAGCATAGACATATCAAAGTTTTGTTAATTTTTATTTCATTTGGATAAAACCAATGTATCAATAAAATAATTATTGTTGTATGAAATTTCATAAGAATTTCACAAGTGATAAAAAAACACTTACGCAGTCGGTTGATTCCTCTGACGCACAGCAGCACTGATGTGAAATGAATAAATAAGGCTATATACTTTTTGAAAAACTTATCTTGTCATAAATTCGTTACTATTTCTTTCTTTAGTAGTATAATTTGTCACCTTATTTACAAATGTGTAATAGTTTGTTCCTTTTATAATTATTTTACTTAAGAAATGTATCATTTAAAATATTTTTAGTTTACAAATAATATAAGTTATTACTTAAAAGTAATATATATTTTTAAGAATCCCCATATATTATTATATAACAATTATTACAAATATGTAGATTTATCAAGCTTATTCATTTACAGTAGTCAAGAGGTTAAAAATTCAATTTTAAAATGATGTTAATGCAAGAAAAATCATCCACTAATAAATTATAAAGTTCCAAGTAACTATTAATTTATAACATTTTTTTTACAAAATATTTAATAATATTCAATTAAATACTAGATGATTTGAATATTAGATGATAAATCATTTATTATAAAATCAATAGTATTAGAAAATTGTATTTATGTCATAATTATTTAAATTTTAATTCATAAAATATATACCTTGTAAGTCGATTTCTGGCTCTGGAAGCTCCAACTTCATCTGGTGTCGTTGCTCCACTTGTAGCTGTAGAAGATGGACTTGCAGGTTCTGTTCGGTTACCAGATTCATCAATTAAAATTAACTGAGATTGGCGTACAAAAGTTCCATGGTTTTCTAGACACTGATTGATAAATAAGGTAATCAATATTTTACAAATTTCAATAAATCTTTTTACAAATATTTAAAAGTTTCATATGTTTACATATATAATTTTATTAAATCATATTTAATAATATATTTTTAATAAATCAATTTCATACAAATTAATATATATTATTTATTATTTATTATCTGATAATAATAAATAAGTGCTATTTATATCAATGGTTTTAAAAATAAAATAATAAAATAATTTTAACATCACAGTCTTATTTTTCTTTATTTATTATACAGATAGGTATATTAAATAGGTATATTTCAAAGTATAATACAAGAATATTATAGAGTAAGATCATGTATATTAAAAGTATCAATGATAATTGTGTGTATTAATCAGTCATGAAGTTTAAACTAATTAATATTTCAAATTTATGAAATAAATAAATAAATTACACACAGAGATTATTGAATAAGAATTATGCAGAAATATTTATTTAAAAGTAATTTGAAAAACCAAGAAATTACCTTAAAATAAAAATGTCCTTTGATGGTACCATTATTGCGACCCATAGGCTCATCAAGAATGACACCAATCCATTTTCCAGTAGCAAACAAAGGATGTCCAATGAATGCAATAACTCCCTGACACCCTTTGCCAATAATTTCCACACGTTGACCGATCTTCAGCGACATTTTTGCTTGTTTTTTTTTGTCCCTTTACGACATTCGAATAATGAAGCTTTGATAAATTTTTTATCACAGCTGTCGTTCTTTCATTTGACTTCTCTCAAATATAATTGTAGACCATATCTGCCTAAGAACTCGATATTTAAGGTTATTAAAGCTGTATATTAATGTTGACTTTAGCGTGCGTAAATAAATTCCAAAAACTATTTTTTAAATTAGAATTAATGTGGTTTCACATCAATAAGACACATAATTATTAGTTTTATTTTTATTACAATAAATAATAATAAATTTAAACATATATGTAGTCTAAGTTGTGCAAATATTTATGAATAAGTATATATTAAACATGCAGCGCTCTCTAATGGCAAATAATCAAAGTTCTAGATATAAATCTGTCAAAATCAAGTATTTATAATTTGTAGGTAACGATAGATATTTAAAAGTTTTATTAATATCCAAATGAAATTGCTTATATAGCTATATTTTATTATATATCAGGTGTACACTTTTATAAATTTATAATCTGATTTATAATTACATTTTCATATAAATTTTTAAGCTTTTAGAAAATCATAATACGTGGTTATTAACTTCAATGTACCTTATTGCTTAATTGTACTACATGATACTTTATAAAATCATGAAAATATTTATACAAATATTTACTCTTATATTCAATTTCAAGTAGTTTAATGATTGAAAAAATTTTGAAATCAATGAAACTCTATTCTACTTCAAAACTTGTATGTTATGTATTATAAGTAAACGTATATGCACATATCAATAAAAATGATTTGTTAACAAATTTTTGTTAAAATATTTATCGCATATATATGAATTGTAATATATGGTATAAGTTGATTAACTTATAAATATGTTAGAGCCCTTTAGGTGAATATTAAAACTTATAATATGATCTTGTACTGCTTGATATACTTTTATAATATAAATACAAATTATTATTTTGTTTCTGTAACAATGGTTTTCAATTATAAATATATTTTATAAAGGTAATTTATTTTTATTTCAATATATATTTATTAGATAAGATTGTTCATTATAAGATTTATAAATAAGTAAATGAAATTTACTAGATAATAATACTAAGATTAATACTAAGACAATATATATTTGGCATTTAATTTGTATCTCTCGACACGTTACTGACATTCGATATTATTTTTATATGCAAATACTAAATGTTTCTTATATACTAGTTATTTTGTACATATAAATGAAAGCTATTGTCAAACATATTTCAATTTTATGGCAGTAGTATTATTTTATGTTAGGAACAATGCATGTGTAAGTATTGAATCTTAGTAAGAATAAAAGTTTAAACTTTGAGTATCTGTTGCCATCGATTTTAATTTGTGGTAAGATAAATCACTTCTATTAAAAACTAAAAATGAAGACTGATATTTTTTTTTTCGCGACTCGATATTCTTCAATTGTACGGTATTCGTCTGCAGCAGGAACGGAGCCAGAAAATAACCTCAAATTTAAATTTGAAGTAGTCCAGGAAGCCCAGACTCTAATGAGTGGTCATCCAGTTAGAAACAACAGTGGCTATTGTTTATCGTGGTGCTCGTTCAGGTAATTAAAGCGCCCACACTGCGGGTTTGAGCGATCATGTACTGTGATTGTTTTACTTGTACTTTGGCGAACTTTGAGATGGATTGGAATTTTGCATATTTCTAATGTGGTCGTTGCAGTCAATTTCAATGTTTGGTCTGCCAGATTATTCATGGTTTTAGAGATGAAGAGAGTCATTCTCTTTGTAAATGGCACAGATGTTAATGGCAAGGTGATGAATTTGTTTATCGACGCTTTATCTCATTAGTGATTATCTTATATTTAAATTGGTATTATATGATTATGGAATTTGATATTTGTAAGTAAATTTAAAGTTAATTGAATCTATTAATCGTTGGAACTTATGTTGGAACTTTAATTACATATCATTAAATTATTAAGACAAATTTTAAATCTAATGATGTATAATCTTTATATTTATAAGCTTAAAATTCATTTCTTAATTTTATAATTTTATATTTTATAAACTATTTTAATATTTTATAAATTTTGAAACGTATTTTAAATGGTTGAATATATGCATATAATGATAACTGACAATAATTTTGATAGTTTGGTTACTCTATTTCCTAATTAATTGTGAATACAAATAACTTAATACATTTATATAAATTAGAGTGAAATAAAAATAACATTTTTCTAATGGGCATTGATTTACATCAATAGGTTTTTATGGTTACATATTCATTGGATGAATTATTAAAAGAAGCTAGTATGAAATTCAATATAAAAGCACATAGGCTTTTCACTCCACAAGGTGGTGAAATAGATGATATTAATTTAATTAGGTATGTAATCAATTTAATTTTCCAGTCTTTTAAGAATCAATGTTTTGAAATAATAATTAATTAACTTTTATATTTTCAAATTGTTCTGGGCATTAGACTTTTTTATTTACAATATTAAAATAAATCAATTTATACTATTAAAGTATTTCTTTTAATAAAATAATTTCCTCTCATTTGCTAGGGACGATGATGTCATGTATGTATCCAGTGGTGAAGATTTCACTTGGACTCGAAAAGATATATTATGTCATTGTAAAAATTCGGATTGGGTAACACTGAATGTAGGTGGTAAATATTTTTCAACCACAAGAAGTACATTGATTAATAAGGAGCCTATGAGTATGTTAGCTAGGTAATTTAGATATATAATTATATTTGTATAAAATTAATAATTCAGATTTTTTAATTTAATCCATAGTCAATTATAGATAAATATACTGTGAATATAAATTATAAAATTTTATATACGAATATGTAGATTTAATTTAATTATTATAAATTTTATCGATTAGTTGAATATTTCAATATTCCTATAAAATAATAATGATTTCATTATAAATAAAATTTTTTTCTGTAAATAATAATAATAATAATAATAATTATAAGTATAATTTATTTTTAATACCTTAGAATCATTTTATTTCTCATTATTTAAACCCTAAAATACTAACATTAGCTTTTTATTTCAGAATGTTTACTGAAAATGATCAAAAGGAATGTAGAATATTACCTAGTAAAAAAGATCGAAATGGGGCTTATTTGATTGATCGCAGTCCCACATATTTTGAACCTCTGCTTAATTATTTACGACATGGGCAGTTAATAGTAGATCCAGTTTTAAATCCTATTGGTATAACTGTAATACAACTATCATTATCATAAAAATAATGAATTATTTGTGATTTTTTAAAATAAATTTAGGTAAGAAATAATTATAACAATTTATTATACAGGTATTTTAGAAGAAGCTCGGTTTTATGGTATTGAAGGAGCTGTTAGTATTTTAGAAGAAACGATTATAGACGATGAAAAGAAAAAAAGGAACATAATCTCGTTGAGTAGGAAAGATGTTTTAAAAGCTCTCATGCCAACAACTACTAAATCCGAATTACGCTTTCAAGGTGTAAATTTGGTAGGAGCTGATCTTTCACGATTAGATTTAAGGAACATTAACTTTAAGGTAGGTAATTGATTTTCTTATTATTTTTATCGATAATATATTTGTTAACTGAAATTATTATTTTTGAGAGAAATAGAGATTTATAAAACTAAATGAAAAAATTTTATTCAAATAGTTTTATTACTCTTCACTTTCTATATAACAAGGTTCAAAATCATTAAAACTTTATTTGAATGTTATTAAAATAATTAAACATTTCTAAATTTTCTAAATATATTATACAATAAAATATATGGGATATATAATGGGATATATATGGGAAATATATTGAGCATTAGTTTTAAATTGAATTACATAGTAATTATAAATTATTTGATAAGAAATACATTTTAATAGATTAAAGTATTTATTATTCTTTTAAATAAGAATATATAAGATGAATGTATATAATGCAAACAATATTATCATTTTCTAAATGATTAAATAATATAATTTTTCTATGACCGGGAGTAATTACTAAATTAAAGCTTTTACCTCAATTTAATTTAATAAATTCACCTCCTAACATTTTGTTCACACCATTTATTTTTAAGATATTTTTTATTTAATATTTATTCGTTACATTAGCCAATTATATTACAATTAGTTAATAAATAATTAGGTTAAAATTTTTTAATATAATTCGAATATAATTTTTAACATATTTAGAAAAATAAAATCAAAAAGGTATATTCCATATATATTCCAAGTATTTCGCTAAAAAATGGATAATAATGAATAATTATTATTGAAATCAAAATAATTGAGTACTAATCAAAGTATTTTTCAATTAATAGTCTTTGAATTAAGGCTTTATATGTCAGGTTAGTTAAAAAACAACAGCAAAGTTGTAATTATATTTTAGTTTAAATTACAATCAAAATTTATTATTGATTTATTTATATCAATTTAAGTAATTGTAAAATCTTCAATTAAGAAATCTATTTATCAAAAATATCGGTATTACGATAATAATATTTACTAAAACCTTTAGAAAAAAAGTTTACTGAATATAGGTATTGTATAATTAAATTATATTATATATATATATTAATATTGTATAATCATATTAATTATACATATTGTAACATGTATTCAATATTTTACTTTTCAAATTTATTTATCTTCGATATAAATTTGTATTGTATTTCCATTTTAAAATATTTAAAAGTTGTTTACATTTATGAATATTTTCAATTTAGCATTTATATATTTCTTATTGATTTTTATATTATAATATTATAATTTAGTTTCTATATAAAAACATTAAAATATTATATTGTCTAAAAATAGACTACTGGGCTAGGAGGGCCAAATATCTAGAGTTAGGTGTAAACTCCCAGATGGTGGAAGGGAGGATTGCGGGCAAGTGGACAGGATAGTGCATGTATTCAATAATAAATAGATTTGGTATTTGTTTTAGTTTATTGCGATAATTGCATTAGTTGTATTATAATGATTTTTAGTTTACGTTTAAATGCCTTCGTTTCTTGAGTTTTGTATTGCTATTGCCACAGAGTTGTAATGTGCGTTGCATGTACAGGTAGAAGGGCGTAGCCTTTTGGTCCTCTATATGTAATGCACGTGGTGGTGGTGTTATACACGTAGAAGAACAAGGTCGTAAACCCCTGTGCTTCCTTGTGCAGTGGCACGTGGCAGTAGCTTGAATTTGCCTTGGTATCGTATTATTGCTTACGTTGAAGGCTCTGCAGGTGGGCTTTTGGTGGCACTTCTTAGTCTGCAGATATTGCCGCGTGCGGCGCCTCGTAAGTCTATCTTGTGGGAACTAAACTTGCCCCTTATGCGTTTGCAGATTATGTGAGCTTGTGATGTGGCAGCTAGTGATGTCTGCAGGTTGTGCCTCGTGCGGCAGCTTGTAGTTTATGTTTTGTGTTTTTCTGGCTATACCTCGCGTATTGTTTGCTGAGTTTGCCTCGAGCGGCTCCTTATAGGTTATGATTATGTTGTGCTTTGTGCACCACTGTTTTCTTGTTCCCGTTTCCTTGTCTTGCACTTCTGCGAGTGTATGATTTGATTTGCATTTATCTTGCACTTGTTATGAGTTGGATATGACTAGACTTTGCCTCTTAATCGGCCTTTACTGTGTATGTCTACATTCTTGTTATTTGGCGTTCCCTTGGAGAAGCAGCCTTACCGGCTTCTCAGGTGACAAGAGACTCCACGTCCGCCTTGCTGGCGTCTTTCTTGAAGGCATTCTCTCGGCCACCGCGTGGCCCTTATGAATTTCCTGCTTCTTGGCGTTTCCAATCAGAGTGCTTCTTACTTGCAGTCCCACCATGAGAGGGGGACTTCTTTGGCGCGTTCTCGCTTCACTATCCGAGCCACATGTAGCTGGGTTTGACAACAACGTATGCGTGCAGTGTTGCCTTTAATATCCCTTTTTTCGGATGTAAGACGAGGTGGTTTTTGCTTATATTTTTATGACTTGATTATGCCAGAAGTATTATGACTTGTCGTCGATAGATGCTTTGTGGCGAGGCCGTGTCAAATGTCTCGTAGCATTAGTTTTATGACTTGTTTTGCTGGACACTTGGAACTTTGTTTTCACCAGATGTGTTTATGAATTGTATTTTCTTTAGATATTCGAAGTTTTGCTGAATTGTTTAGATTTAGTTAATCCGAAGCGCGTTTTGAATGTTATTTCTCGAGTAGTCGAGAGTTCGCCTTTTTCGGAACTCTTATCTCGAATTTTCCAGATGTTTAATGAGCTGGGAGTTTTCTTACATTCTCCAACATATATAAAATGGAGAAATTGATGTTACAAACAACTATTAGAAGTTTTATAAAACTAGATTATTCATTCATTTATTAAATCATGATACAAACGATGGTGAGGAAAATATACTTTAAATACAAATTTATCAATGAATTTATTATGTATGTATAGAAATATTCTACATTTTAATTTAATAATGATTTCATTTTTTATAATATACTATATTAATCCATTTTATAAATCTTTGTTGCTGATTTTAGATGGATTATGCATACTTTTTAACGCTTTCACATACAAATTTATTAATATAACAATTGTAAAATAGAGTATTATTATAAATATAACATAGTAATAAAATATTGTTAATAAATGAAAAAATACATGGTTATTAAGAATTGTTAATGTAATGAAAATAATGGAAATAATACTATAAGAAATAATTTTTTTACTACGTTGTGCAGTATTTATTGATATTTTAGATAGCAAATTTATTCTTCCATTTACGTATGAAAGGTCGGTAATTCGAAGGAATAAAGAACCAATTTCTAGATGAGGATTAATGCCAAAGTATTTCAAGCCAACTGTTATAGATCAGGAAATTTCATATCGTTCAATTGGAAATGAAATAGGCCACGTGTTTCATACCGAAGGATTCGCGCTATTAACTAAACTTTTATCCCTTTCGTTAATGTAATCAAAACGGACAAGATGATGTTTTCACATTTGCACATTCCATTACTCGTTTGACTTTATATATTTCAAAAATTTTACTTTTCACCAAATTTTATTATTTTGATAAAATATGTATTTTTCAATAAAAGACGAATTTTAAGAGAATTTATTAAAATTTACTCTTTACATGATTTCAATGTATTTGTAAATATTTCTTTATTGAAATTATTTTATTATCGTTATAGGAAATTGCATAAATTTCCAGCATTTAATACGAGACTTCTTTAATTTTAAATATTATACGACTAATAAAATAATAATTATTATTATTATGTAATTTCTAATTTTTCAAAATTATGCTATTCTTTTTAAACTCTCAAATAATATGAATATTACAAAATAAAATTTTTTACATTTTTATTATATTTGCAAATGAAATATTAATAATATATGAATATTTTAGATGAAGTTATTATTATTATTATATTAACAAAAAATAATGGTTATAATAATAATAATTTGATCTAAAATATTTATATATTACTTTTTCATTTGCAAATATAAGAAAAATGTAGAAATTTAGATTCTTTAATATTTATATTTGAGAGTTTGAGAAGAAAAACAAAATCTTATAGAATTAATAATTACATTCTTAAATTTATAATCATATATGATTATATTTATTCTTATATTTGATATGGTATTTCCAAAAAAAAATTGTAATATAATATATATAATTAATATATTCATTACATACCATTGGCGTAGAATAAGATCGTTTAAAAGTTATTAAATTTTAATTTTTGTAAAATGATATTTGAAGAAAAACGTATATAAAATTTTGCATGTATTTTAAAATTATATAGATACCAAAATATATTTATGGTAAATTATGCGTTCGTCCTAAATTGAAAAATTTATAATTTTTTAATTGTTTTATAATTTTCGACAATGTATCTCTGAAATTAATGTGTAAATGTACAGAAAAAGATTCTTTACTATTCATGAAGAATTACTTAATTTTTATAATTGCTTTCATACATATTATATTAAAATCACTAAATATTATTTTTATTTAAAAGGCACATTAATCATAATGTTTATTTAAAATTATTTTTTGTAATAAACGTTATTTATAAAAGTTTTATAAGTTTTATAAGTTTACTTGATAAGTGGTTGCAATAGTATAATAAATTAGTTAATAATATGCATTTGGATCTCACGAGTATTTATATAAAGTTAATTTTTACATCATAGATATGAAATATCATTATTATGATAGTAATGTAACTCTCTTAATAAAGTAAATTTTCAATTAGAAAAATTTGTAAACGAATATGTAATTGTATAAAACTATATTTCAATAAAGTCTGCGTATTGTATCTTACTAAAGCTCAACGGTAATATATTAATTGTATAAGATTAAAATGCTATAATTAAGAAGAATATTATATTGAATGTAGTTTTATTATATTAATATCATACAGATTTTAATTTCGTGTATCATTTTATTATAATTTCTAATAAACTATTGTAAACTTATTAATTTATGTGTAAGTAATTTAGAAATATAATTTACTTAAAAATAAATATATAACTATGAAGATTTTATCCCTAAGGCAATGCATAAACATTACATTAAAAATTTTGTATCGTGAGAATGCAAAATAATAAATATATACAAATACTTAATCATATTGAAGTATTTTTTAATGAACGAATACTAATTAAGAAAGAAAGTTTTAGTTATAGTTGTGTAAAGAATAAAAATCTTTATTATAGCATTGAGTAACATTTCAATCTATTTAAAACATCCATTTTATAAGCAACAGTATTTTATTTTGATGAATATTTCTGTTATCTTAAAGGCGACCTTGTATTTATACAATATTTTTTTACGTTTCAAATAACTTTTGGATTGTATTAATTTAAATGATATATATGAATTATACAGCCTGTAGCACAAAAATATATTATAAATTTATAAATTACTCTCTGTAACAATTAAAAAAATCTTATCTTTGCCCGGATATTTAAATTTAGTGCGTATATAATCGAAACAACTCATTGTTAGCACTTAAATATTGTAATTTGGTTTAAATATCGTAAATAATCTGTTGTATAATAATCATATAATAAAATCATATAGTAATCGTAAAATAACGGCTTGCAAATGCCATTGCAGTACGCTAATCTGCAGGGTTGTAATCTGACTGGTGCTAATCTCACATGCTGCTGTTTGGAGCGTGCGGACTTGTCAGGTGCCAATCTCGAGGGCGCTCAGCTCGTTTCTGTAAAAATGGCTTGCGCCAACCTTGAGGCGGCCAATCTACAATCATGCAACTTTGAGGATCCCGGTGGCAGAAATGTCAACATGGAGGGTGTCAATCTCAAGAATGCCAATCTCAAAGGTAGCAATATGGCGTGGGTGAATCTGCGCGTCGCTACACTTAAGCATGCCATACTCAAGGACTGTGATTTAAGGTGGGCTGTATTGGCAGGAGCCAATCTTGAGGTAAGTCAATATTTGTGAGTTTTCCTTTTATTTTGGTTTATTATTTTCCTAAATTTAATTAAACATTAGAGAATATTACTCTAATTAAATATCATTTTTGCTAGCTCAATTAATAATTTACTTAGGCATTAATGAAAATGTATACATTGTTTAGTAATTTGTTTTATTTATTAAGAAAAAATAATGTTCTATCAAATTATGAAGTTATGAATAGTATAATTCACAGATCAATATTTAACATCTTGGTTGTATACCTATTCATTTGCTAATATTGCCTTGAATTGTTTTGATATTATCTATTTACCATTGCATTTATATTATCAAAACGACCATTCATATAATAATTTAAACAAATTTAATCGTAATTATGAAAATTAACATTTTTTAAAAAGAATTTTATCTTATACACTTTTTATTACACTTTAATTTTTTCTTTTTGCAATTATTGGATACTGATTATTTAAAGTTTCATCTTATAACCAAATATTAGTTTAGATAATAAATATGTGATAAAATAATTATAGTCTTTTTAAAATATTTAATCTAAATTTGAAGCCGCAATTATAAAAAGTTAATTCGATTTTTAAAGAATACTCTATCCAAACTAATTATTAAAATAATTTTTCAATAAACTTTAATTTACGACAATATATTACAATATTTTATTTTTGACTAATACTTTGAGCTGGAAAATGTACATATTTGATAACATATATTAACTAGCACAAACAAATTATATATTTAAAATACGTGTTTTAAACAATTTTGATTTGAGATTACAGGATGTGAATTTGGATACTAAAATATTCTATTGCACATAATAATCAATAGTCCATTTAGGAAATATTTTCATGTATATTTAATTAATTTTCTACCTACTTATCATATTAAAGTTGTGAATTAATAAATTTCCTTTAATTTCAAAAGTCCTATTTGAATATAAACATTACAGTTCCCAAAATTTATATTAAATTTGTTTATATTAAATATTTTGATATATTTATTTTTAGTTACAAAGAATTTTATAAAACCATAACGAAGTTAATAAAAAGTTTTGTATTAAAAAATTATAAAAAGTTAATGAAGGGTATGGCTGTTTAAAATTATATGATTAATTTGCTTATAAAACTTATTATACATATTACAACTTATTAAACATAAACATACAAAATATTACAAAGTATCTTTAAGAAAATAAAATTTGAAATATTTTAGAAATATATTGATTTCCTTAATTTCCAATCACTTTACTTAATTAAATTTATTAGTAATTATTAATAATTTATTCATATATATAATGAATATTAAATAAATTTGTAAGCTATTCTATTTATTTTTTAAAGTCTATATTTATTTCATAGAATTCAGGAAAAAGTATTATAAATCTCGTAATATTATGTAGCTCAAATAATGTAATATTCAATATTTCTGAAATATCATATCTACATGATTTTTCATAAATTAAATATTCCTGAAAATAATCAGTAAAAAATTGATTTATATAATTTTGATTTATTTTTCACATTATTTATATGATGAAAATAAAGTTCAGTATGAAATAATGTTGAAATACTTTTGAATTTGAAAGATCATGAAATTGTATCGTGTTTTATTCAATTTTAGCATGGTTTTCATTAATGTCTAGCCAAATATTCTATCTATAAAGCTCAAAATCTTAGTTCCTCTCGAAACCCTGGATTGATTATCTGTTGAGACTAACATTATTGGATTTTACATAAATAATATAATATCGTTAATTTAATAAAACTTCCTAAAAGTAAATGTTCTGTAAGTTTACTCAATTTATTAATTGCCCATGGCAATGAGTACTTTCAAATTACTAAGTTGATCTGTTTGTTAGACATTGTATTTATTGCCCTAGAAATATATCAAATTTAAAAAATATATTTAAATACAGTTAAATTTAATCAGAATCAAAAAATAAAAAATATTCAAGTTATAATTGTAAATCATAATACAATTTTTAATTTTTACACTAATCTTTTTTATGCTTTTCTATAAATCTTTTATATTACTATTATATTAAACTAAATAATATCATATACACAAGTGGAATTTTAGTTAGTACATTCGAATACTGTTTTAATTCATAAAAATATATCAAGTTTTAAAAAAGAATAAAAATTTAAGTCTAATTATAATAGAAATAAATTTTTGTAATTTTTAGTGCTGTGACCTGTCAGGCTCGGATCTCTATGAAACAAATTTGCGTGGCGCAAATCTCAAGGATGCTGTTTTTGACCAGATGCTCACACCATTACACATGTCTCAGACGATACGATGAGCCACTGCATAAGCTTAACAAACTCGTGAATTCTTTCTCACTTTCTTATTTGGCTCCTTGAATCGTATAGCGTGAAATATTACTTATTACATACACTAACATTTTAGCTTTAAGCAAGAAAGATAAATGGGAGGATGATAACAATCATAACAAATCTTGGAATAATACCTGTATTTTGCTACAACTTATGTCTCTTTTTATAGAAACATAAGCTTGATAAAGCATGTTCATATATAAAATTTAGCATTTAGAATTGATTAATTTAAAATATAAAAGCAGCTTCTACATTCTTCATAAAGATTTCATAAAAATACAAAGTGTATTAATAATATATAGAAAGAAAATGTTTATACTATTTTATTAGTCAAATGAAAATAAATAAAATGTATTTTTACTTACCAGATAATATATCAAGATTCCATGTCTATGCAGAAATACGTTAGTTCACGTATGTTGCAATATGCATGTATGTTTAAACGAAACAAACAAGAATTTGTTTTAGTTCAAATAAAAAGAATTAATAGTATATTTTTAATTATTATATAATAATGAAGTAAATTATCCTCTATATCCAATTTAATATTACAAATAATTTAATCAACTTCTTTTTAAGCTATATTATTAAAACTTTTCTTTTATAATTTACCTGAAATTAGCAGATAAATGATAGTAGGATACTTTTTCTATTAACATATTAAATATATTCTATTAACATATATATATATATCCATGAATATTAAATCATTCGAATACTTTTAATTCCATGTATTATATTTGACGATATAGTTTAGCTTTCTTTAAATTCTAAAAGTAAAGTAATTTAATAAAATAGAATATTGGTATATTGGTTTGTTAGATGATTAATTTTGTATTTATATTTGTTATATTTGGTCAAAACTTCCGTCGATTAGCTAGAAATATAAATAAATAAATATTAACAAAAGTAATAAAATTCATAAGAAATTATTGAATCAATAATTATACTCGTTTTAAAATAATTAATTGATGTATTACTGATTCATAATTTTATATCATAACTTTATCGGTATTGGATAGAGCAAAACAATATACTATACAATAGTATAGAGATAATCAGTATTATTAAGTGATAATAAAGTTAAAAGTCAATAATAGCAAAAATGGATCGTTATAAAATGTTGACTTTATGTGCTTATCGATATATTTTTTTAATAATATAATAATTTATAAAAATAATTAATAATGATAATCTTTAATCATGTAATTTATATATCGTTTAATTTATTTAATCAATAACTTTATAGTGTTTACATTTATTATGTGATCAGTTTAATGTATGAATAAACTAATAATTTAATATAAGAAATTTTTAATAAATGTTTAAATTATCACCTCTTGTAATATTGTAATAATACAGAAACTTTCTTTCATTTGCCTTAAAATATATAGATTCTTTAATATCATAACAAATAAAGATATTGAAATACATTTAATAAATTTAAAGATACAATATTTATATTTTTAAATTTTTGTTATATTTTATTATAAATTATAAAAAATTATAAAAAAATTATAAAAAATAGAAATTGAGCCAAAAAAGAAATTTATGAAATGATATACTTAATTTCATTTATTCAATTCATTTATTATATAATTTGAAATTAAATAATTCTGTTTCTCTGAATCTTATTGTATTTATTTATCTTGTAATTAAAATCTTATTGTAATTTAAATTAATCATGAATTTGATTATTTAATTCAGCATAATTTTATATTACAAATACATAGATTTATACAAAATATAAAATAAAAATTACTTATCTCTTCTAGTATTTTTAACTATACAATATATAAAAAATTAAAACACGAAAAGTAATTGAATGTCGTATATTAACAAATAATTTATTACATATAATATTACATTAAAATTCAAACATATTTAGGTCGGAGACAGTAATTTGATTCATACTTGTTCATGATATATTTCGTGAAATTATAATTGTATAATATTAACTTATTACTATTTTTCACTTTTTCCTATTTGCGGAAATGTGTAAATAAAAAATATAATTGATTAAAGATTTTGAAAAATATTTTGGTTTGTTAATCAATTACTGAAATATTTTTAAATTGAATTTGTAACTGAAATTTATATACAATAAAAGTGTAGATAGCTAATTATTTAAAATATCTTAAGCTATTGAGAGAAAAGATATTTATAAGTAAAATAATTGTTGAATTTCATTTAATATAACTGAATTTATTTAATGGAAAGCGATTTAATGAACTATTCTATCATTGAACATGTAATATATAAAAAGATAATATATCATTTAATACATAAGTCATAAAAAATTAATGTTATTTACACAGTTTTATCACTTTTTGAATGATATTATAAACATAAAGATTATAACTTGGAATTGCCAAAATAAAAAACTTATCTAAATTGTACTTTTATTACACGCGATACATAGTGCGCGGATTTACAATTTATCATTCTGATTATGAAACGAGAACTACTTGAATAAAAAATTCATAAGGCATTGTTTAGTGAAGTGAGTGTCAAAGTAAAGTGAGTTTACTTTGACTTGGAATCTGTTGGTATAAAAACGTATAGTCAAGGTTTCATTTCAAAATCAATTCAAAATCAAGTCGCATCTCAGAATTTTTCTGTATTTGACTCAATATTTAAATTATAAAATTTTACTTTTTATTTAATTTTGATTTTTAAGAGATTAAAGTCCATCCATAAATATAATATTTTTTTGTAAGAAAACCTCAATAAATAAGTTTTTAAAAATATGTATAAATTGAAGAATAACTAAAAATGTGCCACCTGAACACCAACATGTGACACGCGTAAGCACATCGAATTAAGTTGACTACATTTTGTCCTCTCTACATCTCTTTACTCGGAAAGTTTGTATTTACTTTAAATTTCATTACATAAGTTTAATTTCGGATTCATTAATACCTACCAGATATAAATAAAAGTAGAGAAGTATAAAGAAAGCAAAGCTTTACAAAAAATCAACTTTATGGAAGCCATGTGAAAAGAGTAAAATAATGCCAGGCGATTTTTCTGTAATACCTTGACTTTATTTTGTAATTTTTTCTACATTTTTTATTTCATTTTAACTTTGCTTGATTGAACATCTCAAATAATTTTCGGTATTTTTAATTTATAAATTTATTATAATTTTCTCATTGTTTTATATTAGCTTTATTGCTGACTTATTCATAAAAGTTACTTTTTATGAATTATTTAACATGTTTGCTTTTCTATTATAAATATTTAATTAAGTATATTTATTGCTAGTTTTGTTAATTCGATAAAATCATTAATTAATAATTTTGCTTTAGAAAATATTTATTTTAAGAATTAATCATAAAAACTTTTAGAGAAATAAATTAGCAATATTTAGTATAAACAAAGTAATTTAAATATTTAATATTTGTTTGTATATAGTTATAGAATATAGATTTGTGTTGATAACTATATACTTATATTTAATAATTTTAATCATATGTTTTTTATTAAATTTATTTACTAATAAAACTTCCTGGAATCAAATCAAAATGATATCGTAAATAAATACTATCGATATCAATGTATTTTAGTTTTATCATGAAAAACCTTGATATTATGAATATGAATACATACAAGGTATGTCATGAATAAAACTCTGTTAAAAAATTACTTATTTTATTTAAAGATTTTATAAATAAAATGCATATGAAATTCTGTCACATCTATATTATTTTAACGATGTGCTTCGTCATTTTTGTTTTACGTTTTGCTATAAACTATTTGGTCTATTGAAAAACATGAAATATTAGAGATTTTTCGGTCGCTGTCAATCAATACATAAAAGGACTATACGTTTCGGTTGCAAATGATACGCTTCACTACTTGAAATTATCAAATTTATTGACTTATTTTCACATAAGTATTAATGCGCATTTATAATGTGCCTTCATTCAGGTAATTGATTTATGATTGTATTATTGTAATACAAAATATAAACTATTCCGAAGTGGGTGGTAAAGTAAAAGTATTGTATTTTGATAGAACACTAAGTTTAGATGAAATTCTTATTCAAATACTGATAATGAGGATGACTTATCGTTGAGTTACATTTTCGAATACAGTGCATGGAAACTATTCAAACTACCGTGTAATGAGCAAGTAAATGCAAATTTTCAGTTCGCTCATAGCTATCGTTACTTGTATAATCATAGAGATTGTTTCCTAAAAGTTTGGTATTAAATGAATATCAGGTAAATAAACAAGGACCCAACGAAACTAGGATACAAAAAATGAATAGAGAATTACTGAATAGAAAATAATACAAAGCTTTTGAATTTAATAATGAATTTATTATTGTAAAACTAGTTAGAATTAATATAGTAAAAATTTAACACGAAATATTTAAGAAGATGTTGTAAAGTAATTGAATTCTATATTTTATATTTTATTATCTAATCTTTCAATGGTGAATAACATCTTCATTAAGCTCATGTGTATTTTTATAAATTAGATAACTGTATCTCTTTTATTTTAAATTAATTTTTGTAATTCTCATTAATAACTCTTAATAAACAATTTAAATATTAAAAGTTGCAGTTGAAAATTAAAAATGGTTTTATTTATTTTTACTTTCTGTCTCGTAGTTTCAATAATAAACAATTTTTTATTATAAATTTAATTGTGCTATTATTCATGATATAATATGTAAATGTATATTCTGAAATATATTTTTTTAAAAAAATCATTAGTCAATATAGATTATAAATGAAGTGGATAAATGTACACGTTTTGAATATTTATAGAAATTTGATTTACATATGAAGTACTTTCCAAATTCTTATATTGCAAGTAAATTCATTAAATAACATTGGCTTTATTATTTTTCGATTTTATAATTATAAGTTAAGGTACTAATTCCATAATATTATCAAACAGATATTACAATATCAAGAACATTATACCTCTATATGCAATCGATGCCTCAAGGCGAAATTAGCGCTCAATTCGCTTAGACATGTCTAAGCACAAGCAAAAGCAAACAAGCTCGGTCTCTTTTTCCAACTTGTTATTTAATTATATCCCGTAACAGATCGTAATTAATTATCTGTGTCGATCCTCGAAAAAGCTTTCTCAAGAGTCGAGGTACCATTTGGTTTTCTTCAGGAAATACTGTAGAAAGTCATTTATGGAGGATCGTCGGCCTTGTCTGCAATCTACTTGGGTCATAACCGCGTTATATGGAGGTTAAACGCCTTAAGTCGTTCGTGACCAACCGCTCTCGAAAGCCGGTCGACTACATCGACCT